AACAATATCAATTGTTAATCGATCATAGTGACTCACCTACAGGGCGTTCTTTCAGGACAATCCTTTGAGTTTGCAACCAAAGGAACCCAAGCGCATTTTATCCTGGATTTTTCGTCCCTTTTCCAAATAAATAACGCCTCACATAACACACAAACCAACACTAAAAAAAAACTAAACACACACAAGCTTTTAATTTTTCGTATTTTAATTATTTAATTCGTATCCTTATTTATTTCCAGTTGTTCTTGAACCCCCCCGGTAGAATCCCGCCCGAAGGAACCGAAACACCGAGCACACTTTGATGTATAGTATACAATCTATTTATATTATATCCGTTTTATTTCTACAACGAGCGAATTTCGCGAAGCTTTTTTTTTATTTCTATTAATTCTTCCGAACGACGAAAGTTCGAGAACCGTTCGGGTCTCGCTCTAACCTACACTAAAACTAAACTATTCGACGAAGAAACGCCGAGCCGACGAGACCGAGCGAAATTATTTTATTATATATCCTTAATTTTCTTTCGGTTCTTGCACGACCGGTTCTCGGTCGGGGCTTTCGGGCGGCGTTGCCGGATCTCCGATGGAGTTTTGTACGAGGGTTGTTGTGTGTCGAGTATGGGGATGTTTGATGGGTTTTTTTTTTTAGATGGGAAATGTTGGTAATGTTTTGTTCGTTTTGGAAGGATTCTGTAATAGATTTTTTTTAATTTGGTACTGAAGGATGTTTAGAGGTGTCTATGGAATCATTTTAGAATTGTTAAGAACTGTTTAGAACCGTTTAGAGCTGTCCAAGTTCATTTAGAACGCTTAGAACGCTTAGAACGCTAGAAACAGAATTAATTAAAACTGTTTCGAACGCTCCAAAATTATTTGGAACGGTCTAGAATCATTTAGAACCGTTTAGAACCGTTTAGAACGTTCCAGAATCATTTAGAAGTGTCTAGAACAGTCGATTATTTATTGAGTAGGCAAATTTGGTTTTTTTAGATGAGAAATGTTGGTAATATTTTGTTCGTTTTGGAAGGATTCTGTAATAGATTTTTTTTTATTTGGTACTGAAGGATGTTTAGAGGTGTCTATGGAACCATTTTAGAATTGTTAAGAACTGTTTAGAACCGTTTAGAGCTGTCCCAGATTCATTTAGAACGCTCTAGAATCATTTAGAACTGTCTAGAACTGTCTAGAACGATTTAGAACGCCTCCAAAATTATTTGGAACTGTCTAGTACCATTTAAAAAGTTTCAGAACTATCTAGAACCGTTTAGAGCTGTCCAGGTTCATTTAGAACGCTACAGAATTAATTAAAACTGTTTTAAACGCTCCAAAATTATTTGGAACGGTCTAGAACCATTTGGAACCGTTTAGAACCGTTTAGAACATTCCAGAATCATTTAGAAGTGTCTAGAACAGTCGATTATTTATTGAGTAGGCAAATTTGGTTTTTTTTAGATGAGAAATGTTGGTAATATTTTGTTCGTTTTGGAACGATTTTGTAAGTTTTTTTAAGAATTTGGTACTCAAGGGTGTTTAGAGGTGTCTATGGAACCATTTTAGATTTGTTAAGAACTGTTTAGAACCGTTTAGAGCTGTCCCAGATTCATTTAGAACGCTCTAGAATCATTTAGAACTGTCTAGAACGATTTAGAACGCCTCCAAAATTATTTGGAACTGTCTAGAACCATTTAGAAAGTTTCAGAACCATTTAGAACAGTTTATAACGCTCCAGAGCCGTTTAGAACGTTTCAGAACCATTTAGAAGTGTCTAGAACAATCGATTATTTATTGAGTAGGGAACTTTGGTTTTTTTTAGATGGGAAATGTTTGTAATATTTTGTTCTTATTGGAAGGATTTTGTAAGTTTTTTTTAATAATTTGGTACTCGAGAGTGTTTAGAGGTGTCTATGGAACCATTTTATAATTGTTAAGAACTGTCTAGAACCATTTAGAGCTGTCCAGGTTCATTTAGAACGCTACAGAATTAATTAAAACTGTTTCGAACTCTCCAAAATTATTTGGAACGGTCTAGAATCATTTAGAACCGTTTAGAACCGTTTAGAACGTTCCAGAATCATTTAGAAGTATCTAGAACAGTCGATTATTTATTGAGTAGGGAAATTTGTTTTTTTTTTTTAGATAAGAAATATTGGTAATATTTTATTCGTTTTGGAAGGATTCTGTAATAGATTTTTTTTAATTTGGTACTGAAGGATGTTTAGAGGTGTCTATGGAACCATTTTAGATTTGTTAAGAACTGTCTAGAACCATTTTAGAGCTGTCCCAGATTCATTTAGAACGCTCTAGAATCATTTAGAACTGTCTAGAACGATTTAGAACGCCTCCAAAATTATTTGGAACTGTCTAGTACCATTTAAAAAGTTTCAGAACTATTTAGAACCGTTTATAACGCTCCAGAATCATTTAGAAGTGTCTAGAACAGTCGATTATTTATTGAGTAGGGAAATTTGTTTTTTTTATATAAGAAATGTTGGTAATATTTTATTCGTTTTAGAAGAATTATGTAACATTTTTTTTAAGAATTTGGTACGATTTTGGTAAGGATGTTTAGAGGTGCCTATAGAACCATTTAGAACCATTTTAAAATTGTTCTAAACTGTCTAGAACCGTTTAGAGCTGTCCAGATTCGTTTAGAACGCTTTAGAATCCTTTAAAACTATCTAGAACGATTTATAACGCTCCAAAATCATTTATAACTGTCTAGAACCATTTAGAAAGTTGCAGGACCATTAAGCACTGTTTATAACGCTCCAGAACCATTTAGAACTCTTCAGAACAATTTAGAACCGTTTATAACGCTCCAGAAACATTTAGAACTGTCTAGAACAGTCGGTTATTTATTGAGTAGAGAAATTTGGATTTTTTTCGATGAGAATTATTGGTAATCATTCGTTTTGGAAGGATATTGTGCGAAACTTTTTTTTTGCCTAACAATTGGTTGCTCGAAGATATTTAAAAGTGTCTATAGATCCATTTAGAATGATCCAGAACCATTTTTTAATCCTCAATGGTCATTTAGAACGCTATAACTATAGGATAATTATATAGGAACTGTCTAGAACCATTTAGAACTGTCCAAAATCATTTATTAGAAGGCTTTACGTTTATAAACCCTTTAGAACTGTGTTGGAACCATTTACAACTCTTCAGAATCAATTAGAACTGTTTAGAACGCTCCAGAATTATTTAAAACTCTCTTTAGATATAAAGATTTAAATTATATTAGATATAAATCATTTAGAATTATCTAGAACCATTTAGAACGCTTTAAAACTATTTAGAATCGTTTAGAACAATTCAAAATCATTTAGAACTGTGTAGAACTATTTATGACACTCTAGAATCAATTATTCAATTTTAATTAGAACTATTTAGAACACTCGAGAATCATTTAGAACTATATAAAATCATTTATGAAGTGTTCTAAATGATCCAGGACAGTTCTAATTTGCTCTGTAAAAGAAAGAGAAAGAGTGATAATGTAGGATTATCTACAACTTTCTCACTCTAACTAACTGTTATTACTTCTTACTTCTACTGTCTGTATATTTTTATTATGTAGTAGTAAAATTTTTGAATAATACTTGTGGTTTCTAACAGGGATTTTTTACAACACTCGGCAACGTCGCGTTCTGTTTATATTTTTCATTCGCTTTCACAGAGTAGGCAACACGAATAACGCCTGCTAGATTCGAATCCGAAATTCGAAATAGAACCAAAATGGCCGATCGAGCTAATTTTAATTAAAAAAAAACTAATTTTTTTATATTTTTTTTTTCTATTTTTTCTAAAGAAATTTATGGTTTAAGCAGGAAGCGAGACGATTCATCAATTTGACCTTCAATGTTTTTTTATTTTATTTTATAACCGCTATTTTAGGATAAGAATTTACAATTTGCTCGTTTATAAACAAAGATGACCGAATGCAGAAGGTCTCCGTTTGCATTGAACATATACAGGGTGGCCCGTTTGATAAAGAAACAGATTGTTTCTTAAATATATTGGAATATTAATTAGAGTTATACAGGGTGTTTAATTAATTGAGTGCCGTTACTTCAGGATGTGAAATATTTGGGTGATTTTAAGAAGAAAAATTTATATCGATATACAGGGTGTTACAATTTAAAAAAAAAATAAAAATAATAAAAATTTTCTCATTACTCTGGATATTTTCTTCCGAATGTAACAAAAAAAATTATCAAACTCCGTCGATTCGTTTTAGAGATATTTAACTTTATTAATAAAGAAAATATGCTACTTTTCGGGCCACCCTGTATATTCTCTTTATGAGCTTCGTAAAATTGCTATTCAAACTTCAAACTCGAATTGTTCCATCAAGGATTCCCGTCGTATTTCCACCGTGAATAAGCCCGATTAATTTTGTTTAATTTTTTTTTCAATTTCTCAATAATTATTATTTATTAGATTGTGTATGTTAATAAATTTTTGTATTTATAAATAAGCAGATAACGAAGAAATTTTATTGCTTCGTGAGTCAATAACCAGCAGGAATGAGTAATTTTGTAATTAGTACTAGTCTAATAATTTATGGTCGAAATATTTTTGAATTCTCCTGGGCTATTACTTAGTATATGCCCCAGTCAAATTGGGAAGAGTGAAATGTATTATTTGGCATAAAAAAACACATTGAAATAATTATATATTCGAAATGTATTTGAAATTGTAATTTGATATTATATGGCATAAATGCACATTATATTTGAAATATTTCTGAATTGTCCTGGGCTGTTTCTTATTTTATAACCCAGTCAAATTGAGAAATTTAAAATGTATTATGTGGCATAAAAAAACACTTTATATTCAAAATATTATTAAATTGTCTTGGGCTATTTCTTATTTTATAACCCAGTCAAATTGGGAAATATAAAATGTATTATATGGCATAAAAAACACATTAAATTCGAAATATTTTAAAATTGTCCTGGGCATATATTTATTTTTTTAGCCCGGTCAAATTGGGTAAGTAAGTGTAAAATACATAAAAAACACAATGGAATAATCTATTATAGATATATTTAGGTAAACATCAATAAATAGGTATTTCTATCATATAATATATAGAATGTATATAGTCAACATTTATCAAAATACATAATACCAATGATATTTGTTTTTCAACGATATGGAGAAAAAAGTCTAGTGTGCTTTGATTAATATACCCTGCTTGTAAGAAATATCAACCCTCTCGCTCTCTCTCGCTCTCTTCGACACAATCAGAGAAAGATAGGTATAGGTACGCATAAGACGATTTGATTTATTTATTATTATTTTTTTTTTTTGTAAATACATCAACGTTGGCTTTATTGAATAATTGTTGCCAACCGTATTCAGTTCTAAAATACGAAATAAAAGGTGTATAGTCCCTGAAACAATTTGACAGATACGTCAAAATATAGATATACAATTTTCGAAAAATAGACAGTCGACATAGTTGAGTGTGTATACATATTGTACAACTTACGGGGGTAGGGTGAAAAGTTTTCTGTCTGAAACACTGAAGGGGAGCTCCAATCTGCAACACTCCAAAAGCATTCAAAAATTGTCTAGGATCATTTAGAAAGCTTCCAGAAGCATTTAGATAGTCATTTACAACGCTCCAGAATGATTTAGAACTGTCTATAATCATTTAGAACGCTCTAGAATCGTTTAAAGAACGCTCTAGAACCATTTAGAACACTCCAGAAGCATTCAAAAATTGTCTACGATCATTTCGAAAGCTTCCAGAAGCATTTAGAATGCTCCATAGTCATTTACAACGCTCCAGAATGATTTAGAACTGCCTAGAACTATTCAGAATCATTTAGAACTATCTAGAACCATTTAGAATGGTACAGGAGTATTTTTAGAACGCTTCAGAACCATTTAGAACGCTCCTGAATTGTTTAGAGAACTGCCTATACATCTTTTAGAAGGATTCTAGAAGGAGTCTAGAACCATTTAGAACGCTCCTGAATTGTTTAGAGAACTGTCTAGAACCTTTTATAAGGATTCAAAAACATTTAAAACTTTCCAGAACCATTTAGAACGCTCCTGAATTGTTTAGAGAACTGTCTAGAACCTTTTAGAAGGATTCAAAAACATTTAAAACTTTCCAGAACCATTTAGAACGCTCCTGAATTGTTTAGAGAAATATCTAGAACCTTTTAGAAGGATTCAAAAACATTTAAAACTTTCCAGAGCTATTTAGAAATTTTAGAACGCTCCTGAATTGTTTAGAGAACTGTCTAGAACCTTTTAGAATGCTTCAAAAGCATTTAAAACTTTCTAGAACCATTTAGAACGCTCCTGAATTGTTTAGAGAACTATCTAGAACCTTTTATAAGGATTCAAAAGCATTTAAAACTGTCCAGAACCACTTAGAACGATCCTGAATTGTTTAGAGAACTATCTAGAACCTTTTAGAAGGCTTCAAAACCATTTAAAACTGTCTAGAACCATTTAGAACGCTCCTGAATTATTTAGAGAACTGTCTAGAACCTTTTAGAACGCTCCAGAACCATTTAGAAACGTTTAAAACAATCCAGAACGCCCCAGAATCATCTAGAACCGTCTCGAACTCGAACATTTCGACTCAATAACAAGAATAATTGTAAATTTTCAACTGACTAAATCGCCTTGTCTCGCATTGTCAGACCACAGAACTTTTCACTTTACCCTCGTATAAAACACAAAAATATCCCCAAAGCGAAGTTTTTAAATTCGAATTTTTTAATTCGAATCGAAGTTGGCGATATACAGGGTGTCTCGTAAGTTGATACCTATTTTTTAACTGCGTTTAGATCATTTAATTCTAAGCAACTTTTTCAAGTAAATTTTTTTAATATTCTGGAAAATAAAAATTATGGATATTTTTAAAATGACTTTAAATTTCGAATATTTTCCAGTACGCACCTGCCATTATCAATACAAGTGTCAAAAAAATAATAAATAATTAATGACAATCAATCAAAATGGCGACACTTTTGAGCAGTTTCTTCAACTTTTAACGAACAGGGCCGTATTAACTAAATTTTTAAACTTTTTATTTCAGTTATCAACTTATGAGACACCCTGTATGATGGAGGAAAACCAACCGAAAGACAGCTCAACTAGAATATACAAGGAAGATCATTTAGACATTTCATTATACACAAGATGGCGACGACACGACGAACATTTACCGGAAGTGTATACGAGGGTGAGTCAACATTTACCGGTAAAGTAAACTGGGTAGGGAAAGGGAACATTTACCGGTGTAACGTATACGGGGGTGGAAGGAAACGTTCACCGGTAGTGTATACGAGGGACAGGGAACATTTACCGTTGTGGTGTATACGGGGGGGCAGCGGGGAAAAACGAACCTAATTAATTAATCAATGAATCAATCAATTAGCCGGATCTAAATCTCGTAATTGCGGAATTTGTTGACGACGGTAGAGGGCGGCTCGGCGCCCCAGGCGGCGCCGGCGCCCTTCCCGCCCCAATGCAGATTGGCGCCGCCCTCGGACGCCCGGCGGTGGGCCGGCGACGTCGCGGCGCCCAAGCTGGAGGGGCCCGAATTGCCGCCGGACGGTTCCAGCATGCGGTCCTTGGTCTTCGGGTTCGTCCAGTGCATGGACTGGAACAGAAAAATTGGGTTTTGTTAGCGGTGCTCCCGGACTATTTGGAACCCGGACCATTTAGAACGATTCAGTGCCGTTTAGAACGGTCCAGAATTGTTTAGAGAACTGTCTAGAATTTTTTAGAAGGCTTCAGAAGCATTTAAAACTGTCTAGAACCACTTATAACGCTCCTGAATTGTTTAGAGAACTGTCTAGAACCTTTTAGAAGGCTTCAGAAGCATTTAAACCTGTCTAGAACCACTTATAACGCTCCTGAATTGTTTAGAGAACTGTCTAGAACCTTTTAGAAGGCTTCAGAAGCATTTAAACCTGTCTAGAACCACTTATAACGCTCCTGAATTGTTTAGAGAACTGTCTAGAACCTTTTAGAAGGCTTCAAAAGCATTTAAAACTTTCCAGAACCATTTAGAACGCTCCTGAATTGTTTAGAGAACTGTCTAGAACCTTTTATAAGGATTCAAAAACATTTAAAACTTTCCAGAACCATTTAGAACGATCCAGAATTGTTTAGAGAACTGTCTAGAACTTGTTGGTATCCTTCACGAGGAGGTTTGGTTGAAAATATGAAAATATGAAATGTGCATGGAATTTAGATATCGACTGGAAAAGAAAATAATGGAATGTTTATGGGTTTTATTAGCGGTGCTCCCGGACTATTAGTGGTTGGTTATAGTCGGGGAGGTTCGGTTGAAAATATAAGAAATGTGTGTGAAATCTTCTAGATATTTGGTGACAATATTCTCCTGGACTAATTTTGGTAATTTATAGTCCAGTCAAATTATGGTCTGTAATTTATGATCCAGTCGAAGTTGGTCCATTAATGATTGTTATAGTCTGGGAGATTGGGTTAAAAAATAGAAAATGTGAGTGAAATGTTCTAATTGAAATGTTCTAAGAAATTTATAGTCCAGTCAAATGGGGGTCCATAATTTATGATCAAGTCGAAGTAGTTCCATTAGTGATTGTTTATAGTCCGGGAAATTAGGTTATTAAAAAAACTAATTTCTGTAAAATATAGTCCAGTCAATTTGGTTACGATATTACCTGATGCACGTGTTCCTTCATGCCCAACCATTGCTTGTAGCTGATCGATATGCCGCTGTTCCTCCATTTATCGTAATTCGACCGTTTCTGCGGATCACAGAGCACCTCTTTCGCCTCCTAATATAATTTTAGAGCAAAAAGAAAATTAATCATTTAGTCCTAATAAACGTCACAGTAAAAAATTGACAAGAATGACAGTCGTAATTACGTCGGCTGTCAAAAACTCTCGGACACGTCAAATATTGACAGCAAAAATGACATTTGACAAGTATATTTACTTGTTGCTATAGCAACTGACAATCTACGATTACTTGATTAAAGAATAAAAGAGAGGCGGGTAAATAAAAGCTAAAAAATACAAACTAAAAAGGCAAAAGGTGAATGTATGTAAATTGAACCTTCATTTATACAGGATGTCCCACAACTATCTTTAAATAGGAAAACTACTTATCCGATTTAAATATCTACATAAAATGTACACCCTGTACAATAATATACTTTTGAAATCAACTTAAAATTTTAGGGTAATTTACTAAGTGCCAAAATTAACAATAATTACTATTTTACATTAACATAACTATTTCCATGGCCAACTTATAAAACCTAGTTAATTGAGAATAATGTAAGTTTTATATAAAATATTTAATATCTTCATAACTATTAGGTTTAGGTATAGAGAAGTAAACGTGAACTTCCCTTATTTTTTTTCGCTGATTTCGATAAAATGGAAAAAAACTGGGTGGTTCTATTTAAAAAAAAAGAAGAAATTTGAAATTTTTGAGATTTCAGAAAAGTTCAACTTTGTACAATTATTACAACCACCCTGTATAAAATAAAATTTTTTTCAACACGTGGTCAAATACCTTTGACCTTTCTAGTGGTCACCCTATAGAAACAATTTCCATATCTTTAAGGGGATCCCCATAAAAAATATTTATAAGGGCGGTCTGCATAGCTCGAATTTTTTACAAAAAAATTAATAACTCAAAAAGTATGCATTTTTGAAAAAAGTGTTTCAGACAAAAGTACCCTAAAATTTTACGTAGTTTCCAAAAATACACCAATATACAGGGTGTTTCATTTGAAATAACAAAGTTGATGCCTACTTCCGGTATATCCGGAAGTGGTACGACTGTCAAAATATTTTTAATAACTTCGTCTTATCGAATAACACGTGTATACCAAATTTTGTTCAAATCGGATAAGTAGTTTCCGAAATACAGCTAGTTTTAACTCCCATTGGATAGTGGGACACCCTGTATATAAAAAATCGATCAAAGGCGGCGCCAACGGAGCGTTAATTGGAGCGAAATATGCACAAAAAAGACCAAAACTAAATTAATATTCCACTCTATACAGGTATATTGTCGAATCGATATCGAATACAATTTTTTTATCCACTTACTTTCAACTGTTGGAATTTTTCCAAAGCCTCCTTGTCCCCCTCGTTTTTATCGGGATGGTACTGGAGGGCTCTCACTTTGTATTCCGTATTGATTTGTTCTACCTGAAAATTACATTTGAATTATTTTCTAAAAAAAATAAAGAACAAATAATACAGAATGTGTTAAATTCTTAATTGTAATACGTTTATAGAGACACCCTGTATATATTCAAATTCGATCTAATATTAGACGATCTTATACGAAAGTTTCTGTACACTGCATTTCAATTGCATATTAGAACTGTTCTGGACAGTTCTAATATGCTCTGATATGTTTTAAACTGTCCAGGACAGTTCTAATTCGCACTGAATTGTTCTAAACTGTTCAGAATAGTTCAAGTTCCTTCCGAAGGATTCTAAACTGTCCAGGACAGTTCTAATTCGCTCTAAAATGTTCTAAACTGTCCAGGACAGTTCTAATTCGCACTGAATTGTTCTAAACTGTTTAGGACAGTTCTAATTCGCTCTGAAATGTTCTAAACTGTCCAGAACAGTTCCAATTCGCTCTGTGAAATGTTCTAAACTGTGCAGGATAGTTCTCGTTCCTTCGCTGAAGCATTCTAAATTATCCAGGACAGTTCTAATTCGCACTGAATTGTTCTAAACTGTCCAGGACAGTTCTAATTTGCACTGAATTGTTCTAAACTGTTTAGGACAGTTCTAATTCGCTCTGAAATGTTCTAAACTGTCCAGAACAGTTCCAATTCGCTCTAAACTGAAATGTTCTAAACTGTGCAGGATAGTTCTCGTTCCTTCGCTGAAGCATTCTAAATTATCTAAGGACAGTTCTAATTCGCACTGAATTGTTCTATACTGTCCAGGACAGTTCTAATTTGCTCTGAAATGTTCTAAACTATTCAGAATAGATCTAGTTCTATCCGAATGATTCTAAAGTATCCAGAACAGTTCCAATTCGCTTTGAAGTGTTCTGAACCGTCCAGAACAGTTCTAATTCACTTAGAATTGTCCTAACATGTCCAGGATAGTTCTAGTTTCATCCGAAGCATTCTTAATTATCCAGGACAATTCCAATTCGAACACTTCAGTGCGAGACACCCTGTATATACTAAAATTCAACCTAATATTACACGATTTTACGAAACTTTACTTTCTGTATACACTATTTTTTTATCAATTCCAAGGCTACGCTTGATTATATCTTGTACAACTTGTTTACTAAGACAAACAAGTCGACTTTGATCGACGCAATCAAAATTTAAAATTAGTTCATATTTACCGTCGAGTCCTCCTTGCATCCCAATATGGCATAATAGTCCTCGTCGGGGCGCTTCTTGTAATCCAATATGTCGCCGACGCTCGTCATTTTTCGCGATGTATAAATCCGCGTGGAAACCCGCAAATTGGATGAAAACAAAAACCCGAAGATTGATCGAACTACGACCAAACTGGCGAGAGAAAGTCCCAGTTCTGTTACGGAGTCGAGCGTATTTTTTTCCGATCGGGGCGATCGCAGATGGCGTTGCTCGAGCGCGTTAATGGCAATTACCGGAGTATCCGGGAATCCGAATATTCCGGGAAAACGGGAAAGCGCCGCGGCGCAGGCGCGTCGCGCGAGAGATCAATCGCGGTTTTTCTTTTGCGTATTTTATTAGTTTTTGTTCGGTGAGGTATGCAACATCTAATACACTCGTTTGTTAAAACATTATAGTTAAATAAGAGATTTTCGCAAGTGGAATACAAGAGCAGAGTGGCGCAGTGGAAGCGTGCTGGGCCCATAACCCAGAGGTCCGTGGATCGAAACCACGCTCTGCTAACTACTTTTTTTTTTATTTTTCTTTTTTTAATAAATTAAACAAATTTATTTTGATTAATCTTAATAAAATTTTTGAAAACTGATACAAAATAAGCCCCGCTAATAATTTATTTTGCGTACATTACACCTCATCGCTGAAAGCCTCAAAGTAAAAGGCCACCGCTAGCGCAGAAGAAGCCATAACGTGGACCAATCAGAATTCGCCACCCGTTGTTTGACTTTGACAGCTCCGAGATAAGTATAAAATTTTACCAGCCGTTTGCATTGAATTTGTAAACGTGTAATGTACCAGTATAATTAAAAAACTAGCGAGCATTTCACATATAAACTCGATAAGTGTCCATCAAGGCTTCGAGGGTTGCTCAAAGAGTCCGATTATTCGCCAGATTTAACCCGCATAACCTAACTTTTTCCTAATAGTACAGTAGGAAAATATGGATTTCCAACCGGTATTTTTCGCTTTTATTTTATGCGTTTTAGCCGTCGAGGGATTAAAACCCGGCGAATGCGAAGGTACGTGATCAAATTTAATTTTTACACTCCAAATTTATCATTTTCTACTCTTTCAGCAATCTAATTTTTATACTTATTTTTAACATCTTATCAATCATTTTCCGCTCTTTCAGTTTGCATCAAAACCCTAGACAAATTCTCGGCCACTCTCTCGGAAGACGTCAAAAAAGACCCAAAGAAAATCGAGGCGAAATTCAAAGAATTCTGCAAAGGGTCCAAGAACAAAGAGAATAGATTCGTAAGTACTAGAAACAACTCGATCGAATACAATACGAGGTTAAGGTGAATAGTTCTCATCCTGAATCATTCAGTAACTTTCCACAACAATCTAGACCGCTCCAGAATCGTTCCAGAATCGCTTCAGAAACGCTTTAGAACTGTTTAGGATCATTTTAAACGCTCCGGAACCATTTAAAACGCCTCGGGATTATTTGGGACTGTCTAAACCATTTAGAGCATTTCAGAATCATTTAGAATTGTCTAAAACCATTCAGAGCGATTTAGAACGATTTAGAACGATTCAGAATCATTTAGAACGCTCCACAATCATTTTGGACTGCCCAAAACCATTTAGAATCATTCAGAATCATTTAGAACGGTTCAGAACCATTTAGTACGTTCCAGAACCATTTAGAACACTCCAGAATCATTTATAACGTTCCATAATCATCGTTTAGAACTGTCTAAAGCAATCTAGAACACTCCAGAATCATTTAGAACTGTCTAAATGGGTCATCATTTATAATTCTTCAATAGTCATTTAGAACGATCCAGAATCATTTATAGATTTGTCTACAATCATTTAGAACTGTCTAAAACTATCCAGAACCATTTAAAACGCTCCAGAATAATTTTGAACTATCTAGAATCGTTTGGAAAGCTCCAGATAAATTTAGAACGCTTCAGAACCATTTAGTACGTTCCAGAACCATTTAGAACACTCCAGAATCATTTATAACGATCCATAGTCATCGTTTAGAACTGTCTAAAGCAATCTAGAACGATCCAAAATCATTAAGAATTGTCTAAAACCCATTTAGACAGAACCATTTACTTACATTTACTTTACAGAACTCTTCGATAGTCATTTAGAACGCTCCAGAATCATCTTGAACTGTCTAGAACCTTTTAGAATACTTCAGAACCATTTAGAACGATGATTGTAGACAATTCTAAATGATTGTAGACAGTTCTATCAACGATTATGGATCGTTCTAAATGGTTCTGAAGTATTCTAAAAGGTTCTAGACAGTTCAAGATGAATCTGGAGCGTTTTAAATGACTATTGAATAGTTATAAATGATTCTGTCTAAATGGGTTTAGACAGTTCTTAATGATTCTGGAGCATTCTAAATAGTTCTGAATAGTTTTAGACAGTTCTAAATGATTGTAGACAATTCTAAATGATTGTAGACAGTTCTATCAACGATTATGGATCGTTCTAAATGGTTCTGAAGTATTCTAAAAGGTTCTAGACAGTTCAAGATGAATCTGGATGAGACCTGGTTAATGTTAATGCTCCGGTACCATTTAATGTTAATAATTTGGTGAATAACCTGGTTCTGGTTCTATCAATGATTCTGGATCGTTCTAAATAGTTTTGAAATATTCTAAAAGGTTCTAGACAGTTCAAGATGAATCTGGAGCGTTTTAAATGACTATTGAATAGTTATAAATGATTCTGTCTAAATGGGTTTAGACAGTTCTTAATGATTCTGGAGCATTCTAAATAGTTCTGAATAGTTTTAGACAGTTCTAAATGATTGTAGACAGTTCTATCAACGATTATGGATCGTTCTAAATGGTTCTGAAGTATTCTAAAAGGTTCTAGACAGTTCAAGATGAATCTGGATGAGACCTGGTTAATGTTAATGCTCCGGTACCATTTAATGTTAATAATTTGGTGAATAACCTGGTTCTGGTTCTGGTTCTATCAATGATTCTGGATCGTTCTAAATAGTTTTGAAGTATTCTAAAAGGTTCTAGACAGTTCAAGATGAATCTGGAGCGTTCTAAATGACTATTGAAGAGTTATAAATGATTCTGTCTAAATGGGTTTAGACAGTTCTTAATGATTCTGGAGCATTCTAAATAGTTCTGAATAGTTTTAGACAGTTCTAAATGATTGTAGACAGTTCTATCAACGATTATGGATCGTTCTAAATGGTTCTGAAGTATTCTAAAAGGTTCTAGACAGTTCAAGATGAATCTGGAGCGTTCTAAATGACTATTGAAGAGTTATAAATGATTCTGTCTAAATGGGTTTAGACAGTTCTTAATGATTCTGGAGCATTCTAAATAGTTCTGAATAGTTTTAGACAGTTCTAAATGATTGTAGACAATTCTAAATGATTGTAGACAGTTCTATCAACGATTATGAATCGTTCTATTAAGTATTCTAAAAGGTTCTAGACAGTTCAAGACGAATCTGGATGAGACCTGGTTAATGTTAATGCTCCGGTACCATTTAATGTTAATAATTTGGTGAATAACCTGGTTCTGGTTCTGGTTCTATCAATGATTCTGGATCGTTCTAAATGGTTCTGAAGCATTCTAAAAGGTTCTAGACAGTTCAAGACGAATCTGGATGAGACCTGGTTAATGTTAATGCTCCGTTACCATTTAACGTTAGTAATTTAATGGTAATTTAACGTTAATGTTACAGTGTTACTATTTGGGAGGGCTCGAAGAGAGCGCCACCGGCATCTTGGGCGAGATGTCGAAGCCCCTGTCGTGGTCGATGCCTTCGGACAAAATCTGCGAGAAGCTGAAGAAGAAAGACAATCAGATCTGCGAGCTGCGCTACGACGTCGAAATCGATCTGAAGACGGTCGATCTGAAGAAGCTGAAGGTCAGAGACCTGAAGAGGATCCTGAACGATTGGGGCGAAGTGTGCGAGGGGTGCATCGAGAAGGGCGAGTACCTGAAGAGGATAGAAGAGCTGAAGCCGAAGCACACGGAATTGTGAGATTTTGTTTTTTCGGTGTGATTTAGAGAGTTTCGTGGGCTCAAATTAGCTCAATTCGGACGGGACTGATTTGTACGAGAATTCATTAATGTTTAAGGATTAATTTGGGAATGGACTCTCGATGAGTTCGAATGTATTTCGACATTAAAATTGCTCGGGTTTATGTTTAGATTAAATCGAGTGTTCTTTATTTGTCGTTCGAGGATTACTTTATATTTATTTTCTAAAATAATTTATTATTATTAATTGTAATACTTGGACTTCGATGTGAAATTTAATAAAGTGCATATTTTTTGATTGTTAAATTGAGTCTTTTATGGTGTTTATTATAAATTATGCTAGACGTACAAACTATTCTGGAGCGTTCTGAATGGTTTTAGACAGTTACAAATGATTCTGGAGCGCTATAGATTGTTCTAGACAGTTCTAAATGATTCGGGAGCATTCTAAATGAGTATGGAAGGTTATAAATGGTTCTGAAGCTTTCTAAATAATTCTAGAATATTCTAAATGATTCTAGGACGTTATAAATGGTTCTGTAGCTTTCTAAATGGTTCTAAAATATTCTAAATGATTTTGGAGCGTTATAAATGGTTCTGAAGCTTTCTAAATGGTTCTAGAGCATTCTAAGTGATTCTGGAGCGTTCTATATGGTTATGAAGTGTTCTAAATGACAATGGAGCGTTCTAAATGATTCTAAACAGTTTTAAATAATTCTGGAGCGTTCTAAATGGTTCTGGAGCGTTTTAAATGATTTTAAATAAACAGTTGTAAATGATTTTGAAGCGTTCTAAATGGTTCGAAACAGTTCCAAATAGGTCTGAATCGTTCTACATGGTTCTAAAACGTTTTAAAAGCTTTTAGACAGTTTTAAATTATACTAAAGCTTTCTTAATGGTTCTAGAATATTCTAAATGATTTTGGGGCGTTATAAATGGTTCTAAAGCTTTCTAAATGGTTCCAGAACATTCTAAATGATTCTGGAGCGTTCTATATGGTTCTGAAGTGTTCTAAATGACTATGGAGCCTTCTAAATGATTCTAAACAGTTTTAAATAATTCTGGAGCGTTCTAAATGGTTCTGGAGCGTTTTAAATAGTTCCAGATATTTCTAAAAGGTTCTATTTAGTCTAATAAATTAACTCATAGCCCTCTTCCTATATTGTTCGTAATATATCGGTCATGTTAGTGTCGATTTTAGAGGGTTCTAAATAGTTCTAAGTGAATCTGAAGCGTTCTAAATGGTTCTAGAGCGTTTTAAATGGTTCTAGATATTTCAAAATTTCAGAATTTTTCTAAATGGTTCAAGACAGTTCTAAATTAATCCGGAGCGTTATAGATTGTTCTAGACAGTTCTAAATTAATCCGGAGCGTTATAGATTGTTCTAGACAGTTCTAAATTAATCTGGAGCGTTATAGATTGTTCTAGACAGTTTTAAACGATTCAGGCTGATAAATTTAATGAATATTAATTAATTTACGGTGATAAATCAACAATTTGCCATGTCTATTCCAATTATTCAGTCATAAATTTATGGCGAATGGACTGGCTTACCTCCAAGTTTGCGCCATTTTGATTTAAAAAAAAAAGAAGAAGTAGAAGAGATATTCATTATTTGGTTTACATTTTTACATTACATTTTCCTTTATTGTCACACGAATTAAAACAATGCTTTGCTATTAGACAAACTGTAATAATAAACCGTTTCACTAAAAATCTCAAAATGAATCTTTTTATTTCTGTCCGAGTGCAGATTCCTGTTTTACCGGCCGTCATCTGTCATTCAGTCGAAACTGTCAAAAACCGACAAACGTCACCCGATTATCATATAAAATGTCAACTCGTCGGTGGTGTAGTTAAAAAAAAACGATGTTTTTTCGAATTTACAGCACCAATTTTCGAACCCAACGCCGGCCGATGCGTCCCGCCAACGTTATTTAATCGAATCCCATCGAAAAGCGGCGCTTTTCCACGTCAAAACCACGTCAAAAACCATGTAAATTCGACCGTTATAACGGTAAACTGTACCCAGCGAATCTCGTCCCATAATCGAACCCGAAAACCGATGGAATAATTAACATACCACAATACCACTGCAATCGAACGATTAGACTCGAATACGCGCCGCTAATATCGCTGTTAATTATTACAAACAGTAAAAATTAAATATATAATGGACAACCAAGGACCAGAAGTGACGTTTCTCTTCCAATTCGGGCTGATCCGAGACGCCGTTTCGGTGCCACAGGCCTCACTGAACCTCAGAACCATCAAGAACCTCGCCGTTAACTTCCTGAATTCCAAGGTAATTGACTAATCGCTGATTAACAACTGCTCGAAAGGCCATTCGAAACTCTTCGATGTTCGTTTCCAGGTGCCCGATCACGGTGTGAACCGAATAGAAGATCGAATCCTGCTGTTCAGGCACGTCTACAGCTCCTCTAACGTGCTGCAATTGATCAACTCGGCCTGCGATGTCGTAGACGAGACCCTCGTGGAGATCGTGTTGACCGGGAAAGGTAGGGATTTATGGAGCTCGAACGCCCTGTATGTATGCCAGGGTGTTTGTGAAATGAGTGGTGGAACTTTGGGAGTGAGTGGAGAAGCTTAAAATATGACGAAAATTTAAATGTTTGTTTTTTCTATGTTGGTATATTCTTAAAATAGCTGTGATTGTGGATGAGAATGCATCACAAAAAAAATTCGATTATCTTGAAAGGTAATCGAGATAGAAAAACGAAATTTTCACTATTTTGTAGGAAAAAATATTCTTTTACAATTTTGTAATTTGAATAATTTCGAAAAATGCACAAATTTTCGAAATATTGCGAGTTTTTCAAAAAAAATACTAAACTTTGTTTTAAGAACCCCACAAAAAACCCCAATTATCTAGAAAACTAATCGAGATAGAAAAACGAAATTTTCACCATTTTGTAGAAAAAACATTCTTGTATAAATTTCTAATTTAAATAATTTCGAAAAATACCCAAATTTCCAAAATATTTCCAGTTTTTCGAAAAAAATACTCAACTTTGTTCTAAGAACACCACAAAAATCCCCAATTATCTAGAAAACTAATCGAGATAGAAAAACGAAATTTTCACCATTTTGTAGAAAAAACATTCTTGTATAAATTTCTAATTTAAATAATTTCAAAAAATACCCAAATTTCCAAAATATTTCCGGTTTTTCAAAAAAAAATACAAAACTTTGTTTTAAGAACCCCGCAAAAAACCCCAATTATCTCGAAAACTAATCGAGATAGAAAAACAAAATTTTCACCATTTTGTAGAAAAAACATTCTTGTATAAATTTCTAATTTAAATAATTTCGAAAATTACCCAAATTTCCAAAATATTTCCTGTTTTTCAAAAAAAAATACTAAACTTTGTTTTAAGAACCCCACAAAAAACTCCAATTATCTAGAAAACTAATCGAGATAGAAAAACAAAATTTTCACGATTTTCTAGAAAAAACATTCTTGTATAAATTTCTAATTTAAATAATTTCGAAAATTACCCAAATTTCCAAAATATTTCCGGTTTTTCAAAAAAAAAAATACTAAACTTTGTCTTAAGAACCCCACAAAAAACCCCAATTATCTTGAAAACTAATCGAGATAGAAAAACGAAATTTTCACCATTTTGTAAAAAAAACATTCTTGTATAAATTTCTAATTTAAATAATTTCAAAAAATACCCAAATTTCCAAAATATTTCCTGTTTATCAAAAAAAAAATACTAAACTTTCTTTAACATCATCACAAAAAGAACCTCAATTATCTCTAAAACCAAACGACATAGAAATACGAAATTTCCACCAATTCATAGAAGAAAAAAAACATTTATCACTTCAGAAAACCATTGAGAAAACACTTCATCAAACAAATCCCTACTATTTTCTCACCTCGATACCCTTAAATCTACTCGAATACAAAGGATAAATAACTAATAATAAATTCTTCGCAACTTTTCTTTAACAGCATCATAAAAAACCTAAATTATCTTGAAAACTAATCGAGATAGAAAAACGAAATTTTCACCATTTTGTAGAAAAAACATTCTTGTATAAATTTCTAATTTAAATAAATTCGAAAAATACCCAAATTTCCAAAATATATCCGGTTTTTCAAAAAAAATACTAAACTTTGTTTTAAAAACCCCACAAAAACCCCAATTATCTAGAAAACTAATCGAGATAGAAAAACAAAATTTTCACCATTTTGTAGAAAAAACATTCTTGTATAAATTTCTAATTTAAATACTTTCGAAATATACCCAAATTTCCAAAATATTTCCAGTTTTTCGAAAAAAATACTCAACTTTGTTCTAAGAACACCACAAAAATCCCCAATTATCTAGAAAACTAATCGAGATCGAAAAACGAAATTTTCACCATTTTGTAAAAAAAACATTCTTGTATAAATTTCTAATTTAAATACTTTCGAAATATACCCAAATTTCCAAAATATTTCCTGTTTTTCAAAAAAAAATACTAAACTTTGTCTTAAGAACCCCACAAAAAACCCCAATTATCTCGAAAACTAATCGAAATAGAAAAACGAAATTTTCACCATTTTGTAGAAAAAATATTCTTGTATAAATTTCTAATTTAAACAATTTCGAAAAATACCCAAATTTCCAAAATATTTCCTGTTTTTCAAAAAAAATACTAAACTTTGTTTTAAGAACCCCACAAAAAACCCCAATTATCTCGAAAACTAATCGAGATAGAAAAACGAAATTTTCACCATTTTGTAGAAAAAACATTCTTGTATAAATTTCTAATTTAAATAATTTTGAAAGATACCCAAATTTCCAAAATATTTCCTGTTTTTCAAAAAAAAATACTAAACTTTGTTTTAAGAACCCCACAAAAAACCCCAATTATCTAGAAAACTAATCGAGATAGAAAAACAAAATTTTCACCATTTTGTAGAAAAAACATTCTTGTATAAATTTCCCATTTAAACAATTTCGAAAAATACCCAAATTTCCAAAATATTTCCTGTTTTTCAAAAAAAAATAGTAAACTTTGTTTTAAGAACCCCACAAAAAACCCCAATTATCTCGAAAACTAATCGAGATAGAAAAACGAAATTTTCACCATTTTGTAGAAAAAACATTCTTGTATAAATTTCTAATTTAAATAATTTTGAAAGATACCCAAATTCCCGAAATATTGTGAGTTTCTTCGAAAATATACACAACCTTTCTTTAACATCATCACAAAAAGAACCTCAATTATCACTAAAACCAAACCACATAGAAACACGAAATTTCCACCAATTCATAGAAAAAAAAAAACATTTATCACTTCAGAAAACCATCGAGAAAACACTTCATCAAACAAATCCCTACTATTTTCTCACCTCTCCACCCTTAAATCTACTCGATTACAAAGGATAAATAACTAATAATAAAATCAATTTTTTTTTGAAGCAGTTACAGCAGGTACCCAAGTACCCGATGCTCCAGTGGTACGCCCTCACGCGCTCTCCGTGCACTCGTACAAAACCCCGACGTTCTGCGATTTCTGCGGCGAGATGCTCTTCGGCCTCGTCAGGCAAGGAGTCAAATGCGACGGTAACTACAATTTTATACTATAGTCCCTAGATCAAACAATATACAGGGTGTCCCAAAATTCACGCCCGTCCTTTCAGAATATGATTCAGCGGGCTAAATCAAATTAAATTTTAAGAATAAATTTTTTTCGTTTTGTCCTTGATAACCGAGTTATTGATAAAAAACCAAAAAAATTTAAATTCAACCATTAAACTTTAATTAAAACAAAGTAAGCTAAAAACAAATGACTGGCAGGTTGCTATGGTGATGGTAAATTTTTTTAATTCGTTCCGTCAACTTCTGTCATTAACAGTGTATACAGTGTGTGTCACGACGATGGCCAACTTGTAAAACAGAGTTATTTAAGAATAAGACAGAAAAGTAAGATTTATGTAAAATATTCGATATCTTCAAAACTATTAGGTTTAGGTATAGGGAAGTAAACATGAACTTCCCTAATTTTTTACCGCTGATTTCAATAAAATAGAAAAAAATGGGTGGTTCCATTTAAAAAAATGAAATAATTTGGTATTTTTGAAGTTCAACTTTTCACATGTTTTGTATACACCCTGTATAAAATAAAAAGTTTTTTAACACAGATTCAAATACCTTTGACCTTACTAGTAGCATATCTTTAAAGGGATCCTCGTAAAAAATAATTTATAAGGGTCTGCACTGGTCAAATTTTTCAAACAAAAATTATTAACTCGAAAAATATGCATTTTTTAAAAAAGTTTTTTAGACAAAAGTGCTCCAAAATTTTGCGTACTTTCGAAAATATATTAATATATGGGGTGTCCTATTTCGGGGTTCCTATTTGGGGTGTCCTATAACCGTCAAAATATTTTTAAGAGGTTCGTCTTATTGCATAATATACAGGGTGGCACGTTAGTGTGGAAAAGCTCAATATATCTGTTATTATAGAAGATATCAAAAAAACTTCATTACAAAAGTTGTAGATCTTTTTAAACTGCACATTTTAAAATTAGTTACATTCATACAGAGTGTCCCGTTTTTTCGTACTAGATCAAACTTATACTTTTTTAAATGGAACACCCTGTTTTATTTAAAAATTGAATTTAGCTCGTATTCAGCTTTCCCAAAAATATAATTACAAATTAAAAATTTGTATTATTCATTTTACGACAAAAAGTCATTGTTTATAAAAATTTTTGCTTCTTTTAAAAATGAGAATAACACTGAAAAATCTTAGATCGGATCTACAGGGCGTTGCCAAATTATGAAAACATGAAAATACCTCAAGAGAGAAGTACCATTATTTTTTATTTTACACAAAATTTTTATAAAAGAAAGTTGTTTATAATCTAAAATAAAGCCTGTATACAAATTTGCAAACTTAAATTCAAATTTTGTGTGTCCCTAGATAAAGTTGACCAGATAAGAAAAATGGTTATTATTAATTTTACGACGAAAAGCCATTCTTTATAAAAAAATTAACTTGTCGAGAAAATAAAATTCACATATCAAAACATTAAATAAGACGTATAGGGTGTTAGTAAATTAAGAAACAGGAAAAAATGTCAAGAAAGAACGAAAGAATTTTTATTATCTTACATAAAGAAAGAATTTATTTATTATCTTACATTATTATTTACAAAAAAATGCTTTTAATCCAAAGTAAATTAAAATAAATTAATAATGTAAAAATTGTATTTTTTATTTGAAAATTTGTGTTTAGGCTTTACTTTGGATTAAAAGCATTTTTTTGTAAATAATAATAAATAAATTCTTTCTTTATGTAAAATAATAAAATTTCTTTCTTTCTTTCTTGAAATTTTTTCCTGTTTCTTAATTCACTAACACCCTATACATCTTATCTAATGTTTAATAATTATTTTTTAATAAATAATTTAAATTTAATAATCATTTTCTCCTCTGGTCAACTCCATCCGTGGACACACAAAATTTGAATTTAAATTTGAAAATTTGTATTCAGGCTTTATTTTAGATTATAAACAACTTTCTTTCATAAAAATTTTGTGTAAAATAAAAAATAATGATACTTCTCACTTGAGGTATTTTCATGTTTCCTTAATTTGGCAACACCCTGTAGATCCGATCTAAGATTTTTCAGTGTTATTCTCATTTTTAAAAGAAGCAAAAATTTTTATAAACAATGACTTTTTGTCGTAAAATGAATAATACAAATTTTTCTCCTATAGGCAACCCCATCCGTGGACACACTGTATATTGAGCTTTTCCATACTAATGTGCCACCCTGCATACATACCAAATATACTGCTCCACAAAAGTTAAGGAAGTTCACAAATATTGAGATTAATTTAAAAGTTGCAGATTTTTCAATCGCCAAATCTAGAATGAGTTATAGAGGTAGGGACAAAAAATCCACTCATATATGAGAAAAAACATTTAATTTCGCATATTTGAAAATTTGGTGATCAAAAAGTCTGTAACTTTTAAAATAATCGCAAAATTTGCGAACTTCCTTAACTTTTGTGGAGCAGTTTATTGTTTAAATCGAATAAGTAGTTTCCAATATACAGATAATTCCAACTCGTCGCGGGACACCCCGTATAAGAACAAACCCCAATTACAATTTAACCAATATTTATTTGTTGTTATTTATTTGTTCGAATCGGAACAGGTTGCGGCCAAAATTACCACAAACGGTGCGTCGTGAAAGTACCGAACAATTGCTCCTACAATTTGCTGGACGAGCGGCAACGTTGCAGATCTAGCGGGGGAACCGTTAGTAATCTATCGGTGCCCCATTCGCAGAGCCTTTCGTTGGGTTCGTCGGACAATTCGCTGACGTCGGCGGGTTCCGTCCAAACGGAGGACAGCGGATTGGTAAGGCTCGCTAATTTTTTCACCGGTGTTACGTTGGATTGATCTAAATATCAATATACAGCGTGTCTACTTAAGTTGGCAACATATGGGAAACTTTTTTATTATTAATTTTAGGAAAAAATGTTATTCTTTATAAAAAGTTCTGCATGATCTGAAACCGTAGGAAACAATCATCAAATATCACATTTTTTTTATTCGTATACGAGGTTTGTCGAAAAATCTGATTGTAAACATAAATGTTTCATTCCGTCCAGAATGTAATAAGCGAATTTTTACAAGACAAAATTTATTACACATCTAATGAATACACAATTAAAATAAAAATAATTTCAAGAACAATGTTTATTACACATCAACCCGTTCAATGATTGATAACAGTTAAAAGATAATTCAAAAAACATGTATCACTTAATATGCAAACTTAGACATTACTTAAGTTTTTAAAGATTAAAAAATAAGTTGAGGTAGATGGATCTGATTACATTGTTCTTGAAATTATTTTTATTTTAATTGTGTATTCATTAGATGTGTAATAAATTTTGTTTTGTAAAAATTTGCTTATTACATTCTGGACGGAATGAAACATTTATGTTTACAATCAGATTTTTCGACAAACCTCGTATACGAATAAAAAAATTTGATATTTGATGATTGTTTCCTACGGTTTCAAATCATGCAGAACTTTTTATAAAGAATAACATTTTTTCCTAAAATCAATAATAAAAAAGTTTCCCATATGTTGCCAACTTAAGTAGACACGCTGTATACAGTGTGTAATTTATAAGAAGCGAAATAGAGATTCCTGTACAAAAGTGTCAAAAGCAAGTTAATTTTTTTACCAAATAACGTTCGTAAAAAATAATAACAGATTTGAAAAGATCGTAAAAAAATATGTCGAAATGGACATTAAATTTTCTTAAATTCGTTCTGGTTTATTAAAAAATTGTATAATTAAGTTGAAAAAGTCATACGACATAAATAATTCCTTTTTATAACACTATCTAATTAATGTAAAAAGGGGCGGAGCTAACAGGGTTGGTTGACGCTTTGAAATTTGAAAATTTCGAGGTGAAGGTTTGTGGTTCAAACCGCGAGTGCGGAAATTTTTTTCTGTTTTTTTTGGTATTTTTGTTTTTTTTTATGTTTTTTTGTCATTAATAAAAATATGGCATTTATTTAAAGGCTCTACTTACTAACGAGATTTTGCATTATCAAAATTGACAATTAATTGTCGGAGCTTTTATTTAAATAAAAATAAAATTAAATCTCAAATAAGCTTGTCTTATTTTAAATACTTTTATTTAACATTTTTTTAGACAAAAACATTAAAAAAAACGAAAAAAAAAAAAAAAAAAAAACTTTGCCCCAAGCGCGGTTTGAACCACATTACTTAAAAATTAATTATTCAAATTGCAGAGCGTTAACCATCTCTGTTAGCTCCACCCATTTTGCCAAAAATTAGATAGTGTTATAAAAAGGAATTATTTATGACGGATGACTTTTTCAACTTAATTATACAATTTTTTAATAAACCAGAACGAATTTAAGAAAATGTAATGTCCATTTCGACCTATTTTTTTACGATCTTTTCAAATCTGTTATTATTTTTTATGAACGTTATTTGGTAAAAAAGTTAGCTTGCTTTTGACACATTTGTACAGGAATCCCTATGTCGTATCTTATAAATTACACGGTGTATAGCATACAGGGTGTCTCACGACGAGTTGATGTTATACAGGGTGTTAGTAGGGTGTAAGTGCGACAAACTGCAGAGGGTGGTTGTACCGGGTGTCCCACCAAAAGAGGTAACCGGCTGTATATCAGGAACTAATTGTCATAGAGACTTGCGGTAAAAAATCTTATGAATAAATTGGCAAAAAGAAAATGCTGAAAATACTTTTTAAGTCTCTAAAATGTCCGCTAGGGGAAGTATACGCCATCTTGATTCTAAAAAGTCGTTTATTTCAAATTTTTTTTGAGAAAATCGGTGTTTTTTGAAGTAATGTCGAAAAATGCCATCTTGCGGCCAAGCAAGCAATTAAAATAATATCTTATATAGTGTAAATTATAGACCAAAGAAAGCCCTTTTCAAAAATATCATTTTTTTGAAAATCGGTTCAGCCGTTTAAAAGTTATTAACATTTATTTGTCAAAATTTTCAAACCACCCCCAACACTCTATTTCAAAAGATAGATTAAAAAAATATATAACAAAACATAATCGAAATTATCTTAACTGTCAAAATAAAACACATTTTTGATACCTTTATTTAGGAAAATTTTGAAAAAATGACTTTTTATGATATTTTATATTTTTTTATACCGCAAGAATAAAAATATGTTTAATAACCCCATCTTATTGCATAACATATACATACCAAATTTTATTTAAATCGGATAAGTAGTTTTCTATAAACAGAGATAATTTTAACTCGTCGTGGGACATCCTGTATACAGGGTGTCGTTACATTGGATTAATCCAGCGATCGATTTTGATATACAGGGTGTTTTTGGGGTGGTGCATTACATTCTATTATATTATACTGTACTCGATTTATGGTAGATATTAATTGATATTATTTTCTACTAAGGGGTGTTGGTTGGGTTTTATTTTTATTGAGTATTATTTTTTATATACATTTTATATATACCTTTTTTTATTATATTTTTTTTGTATCGATTAAGTGATTAAACTATTTCTTTTTGGTTTAATTAAGTTTGTTTTATTCCTCACTTTTTCGTTTCTGGCACGAGGGTAGGGTGAAAAGTTCAGTCGGCCTGAATCATTAAGAACTGTCTAGAACCTGTCCATAGTCATTTATCCAGTACCGTCAAATTACCTAAAATCATTTATAACGCTTCGGTATTATTTATAACTGTTTAACACCATTTAGAACGCTTCTAAACCGTTTAGAACTGTATAAAATCATTTAGAACCCTTCAGAATCATTAAGAGCGCTTCAGAACAATTTATAACGCCAAATTAATAATTTGTAATGCTTAATTTGAACTGTCCAGAACCATTTAGAACTTTCCAGAATCATTTAGAACTGTCTAAAACCATTTAGAACGCTGTCAAATCATTTAGAACGCTTCAGAATTATTTAGAACACTCTGTGATCATTTAGAACGCTTAAGAATCATTTAGAACTGTCGAAAATCATTTAGACCATTTCAGAACCATTTAGAGCGCTTCAGAACCATTTAGAACGCTAAAGAAATCATTTGTAATGCTTCAGAATCATTTAGAACTGTCTAAAACCATTTAGAACGCTTTAGTATAATTTAAACTGTTTATTTAAAATCATTTAAAACGTTTCAAAACCATTTAGAACGCAAAAGAAATCATTTATAATGCCCCAGAGCTGTTTGATCACTCCAGAATTATATACAATTATTTAGAACCATTTAGAGCATCTTCCAGAATTATTTAAAATGCTCCATAATCATTTAGAACCATCTAGAATTATTTAGAACGCATCCCAGAATCATTTAGAACTGTCTTGAACCATTTGGAACGCCCAAAACAATTTAGAACTCCTTAAAACCATTTATAACGCCCCCCAGAATCATTTAGAACGCTCCATAATCGTCTAGAATCGCACCAGAACCATTCAGAACCGTCCCGAACTTAACAAAGAAAAATAACGTCATTTTTCAACCAAAAATAGCCCCTCCTTATAACAAATATATAAAATCTCGACGCTTTCATATCAGTTTCCATAGCTGTTTTGATCGCTCCAGAATCATTTACAACTATCTAGAACAATTTAGAATGCTCCAGGATCATTTAGAACGCTAAAGGATTAATTTATAATGCCTCTATGGGGCGTTTTTATCACTCCAGAATTATTTACAACTGCCTTACAACTTATTTAGAACTGTCTACAACCATTTAGAACGCTCCAGAATCATTTAGAACGCATCAGAACGCTCTACAATCATTTACATTGAACTATTTAAAACCGTTTACAACGCTTCAGAACCATTTAGAACGCTTCAAAACCATTTAGAACGCATCATAACCATTTAAAAGGCTTCAAAATCATTTAGAACGCTCCGCAATCATTTACAAACAACTATTTAAAACCGTTTAGAACGCATCAGAACCATCTGGAACGCTCCAAAACCATTTAGAACGCATCAGAACCATTTAGAACGCTTCACAATTATTTAGAACGCTCCACAATCATTTACACAGGATTATTTAAAAATGTTTAGAACGCTCCAGAACCATTTAGAACGCTTCACAATTATTTAGAACGCTCCACAATCATTTACACAGGATTATTTAAAAATGTTTAGAACGCTCCAGAACCATTTAGAACTCTCCAGAACCATTTAGAACGCTCCACAATCATTTACATAGAACTATTTAAAACCGTTTAGAACCCTCCAGAACCATTTAGAACGCTTCAAAACCATTTAGAACGCTTCAAAGCCATTTAGAACGCTTCAAAATCATTTAGAACGCTCCACAATCATTTACATAGAACTATTTAAAACCGTTTAGAACGCTCCAGTACCATTTAAAACCCTCCACAACCATCTTAGAACTGGCTGTAACCATTTCAAATCGCCCCACAATCATTTACAACCACCAAGCAACCGTTCAAAACCTACCCCCGGCCCAACGAAAACCCCTTCGACTTACAACATCACAAAACCCTCGCCAAATTCTCGTCAGTTTCAGACCGATCGCAGCCCGTCGACGGACGACAGACCGACCAAATGGTCCCAAAAAGGGACGGCCCCTTCTTTGGTGCTTAAAAAACCCAAATATCTTAAAAAAACCTAAAAACCTAAAAACATACTTATATTATTTTTTTTTTTAATTCTTGGGTTTTTTCCTACTCTGCATCAAAACCATTTAGAACGCATCATAACCATTTAAAACGCTTCAAAACCATTTAGAACACTCCACAATCATTTACATAGAACTACTTAAAACCGTTTAGAACGCTTCAAAATCATTTAGAACGCTTCAAAATCATTTAGAACGCTCCACAATCATTTACATAGAACTATTTAAAACCGTTTAGAACGCTCCAGAACCATTTAGAACGTTTCAAAACCATTTAGAACGTTTCAACACCATTTAGAACGCTTCAAAATCACTTATAACGCTCCACAATCATTTACATAGAACTATTTAAAACCGTTTAGAACGCTCCAGAACCATTTAGAACGTTTTAAAATCATTTAGAACACTCCACTATTATTTACATAGAATTATTTAAATCGTTTAGAACGCTCCAGACCTATTTAGAACCCTCCAGAACCATTTAGAACGCTTCAAAACCATTTAGAACGTTTTAAAATCATTTAGAACACTCCACAATCATTTACATAGAATTATTTAAAACCGTTTAGAACGCTCCAGACCTATTTAGAACCCTCCAGAACCATTTAGAACGCTTCAAAACCATTTAGAACGCTTCAAAACCATTTAGAACGCTTCAAAACCATTTAGAACGCTTCAAAACCATTTAGAACGCTTCAAAATCATTTAGAACGCTTCACAATCATTTAGAACGCTTCAAAGCCATTTAGAACGCTTCAAAACCATTTAGAACGCTTCAAAACCATTTAGAACGCTTCAAAGCCATTTAGAACGCTTCAAAACCATCTGGAACCCTCCAAAACCATCTTAGAACTGGCTGCAACCATTTCAACCACCCCACAATCATCTACAACCACCCCACAATCATCTAGATTTCTACAGTTTCAGACCGATCGCAGCCCATCGACGGACGACAGACCGACCAAATGGCCCCTAAAATGGGCGGCCCCTTCTTTGGTGCTTAAAAAAAACTAAAAATCTAAAAAGATACTTATATTTTTTTTTTAAATTCTTAGGTTTTTTCCAACACTGCATCAAAACCATTTAGAACGTTTTAAAATCATTTAGAACGCTCCACAATCATTTACATACAACTACTTAAAACCGTTTAGAACGCTTCAAACCCATTTAGAACGCTTCAGAACCATTTAGAACGCTTCAAAACCGTTTGGAACGCTTCAAAACCGTTTGGAACGCTTCAAAACCATTTAGAACGCTTCAAAGCCATTTAGAACGCTTCAAAACCATTTAGAACGCTTCAAAACCATTTAGAACGCTTCAAAACCATTTAGAACGCTTCAAAGCCATTTAGAACGCTTCAAAACCATTTAGAACGTTTCAAAACCATTTAGAACGCTTCAAAACCATTTAAAACCCTCCAGAATCATTTAGAACGCTTCAAAGCCATTTAGAATGCTTCAAAACCATCTGGAACCCTCCAAAACCATCTTAGAACTGGCTGCAACCATTTCAACCACCCCACAATCATCTACAACCACCCCACAATCATCTACATTTCTACAGTTTCAGACCGATCGCAGCCCGTCGACGGACGACAGACCGACCAAATGGTCCCAAAAAGGGACGGCCCCTTCCATGGTGCGCGTCCCTCACACGTTCGTCGTGCACACGTACACGCGCCCCACCGTCTGCCAGTCGTGCAGGAAACTGTTGAAGGGCCTCTTCAAGCAGGGCATGCAGTGCAAGGATTGCAATTACAACGCGCACAAGAAGTGCCTGCCGAAGGTGCCCAAGGATTGCGCCGGCGAAGCGACGGCGGCCGATCGGAGGTTGTCGGGTGAGTGGGTTTCGATCATCTTGATACAATAATGTATGATAGAAATCTAATGATAGAATGATAGAAATCTAATGATAGAATGATAGAAATCTAATGATAGAATGATAGAAATCTAATGATAGAATGATAGAAATCTAATGATAGAATGATAGAAATCTAATGATAGAATGATAGAAATCTAATGATAGAATGATAGAAATCTAATGATAGAATAATAGAAATCTAATGATAGAAATTCCTAATCCCGATTTCGCCAACATGTTTTTAGGCATTTCCTAAGTAAGTAATTTAGGAAGGAAGGTAGTAGGAGTAGGAGTAATTCCTATCTAAGGTCTTTAAAACCTACCTAAGATAGGAATTACTTAAATTGAATACTTTACCTAAATTGAATTTCACCAACATTAGATGCTCGATTTCATCAACCGGTTCCTAAAAGTTAGGTAATACCTAAACCGGATTTAGGAATTACTAGTTCCCGATTTCACCAACATGTTTTTAGGCATTTCCTAAGTAAGTAATTTTAGGAAGGAAGGTAGTAGGAGTAGGAGTAATTCCTACCTAAGGTCTTCAAAACCTACCTAAGGTAGGAATTACTTAAATCGAATACTTTACCTAAATTGAATTTCACCAACATTAGATGCTCGATTTCATCAACCGGTTCCTAAAGTTAGGTAATACCTAAACCGGATTTAGGAATTCCTAAGTACAATTTGCGTTTCACCATGCACTAAGTAATACCTAAAGGTAATAGGAAATGCCTAAAGTTAGGACAGCTCACTAGGCTTGCCTAAAGAATTTAGGAAATACTTAACCATACTTTTCATGTGATTTCATGTGACTTTATATTTGACTGTTTTTAGACTCTTTAGATGAAAATTTAAGATGGGAGGAGAGTTTCTAGAAACTGGACGAAACTGATTTTTTTTACCTTTTTCGATTTATAAAAATACGGCATTACAAATATCAGAAAGAATAAAAGATGATTTTTAATTTGATACACAGGAAGTTTTTGGAACTATTGACCGTACACATGCATGTAAAGATCCATTATCCTGGAGAAGAAGACCTACATCTTCAGCAGATTTAAAAATAACTAACATAGTTTAAAGATGGCCCCGGATCATCAACATCTCTTCTTTTCTCTCAACATATTCAATTTCAATCTCCGCTTATTCGGTTTACACGTCAAAATTAGCCAATGCTACCAATAAAATTCAAAAAATTGTCGAAATCAAATTTTTACCTAGGTATTTCTTAGTAAGGGATTTCTAATGTTGGTGAAACTCGATTTAGGTAAGTATTCGATTTAAGTAATTCCTACCTTAGGAATTACCTAGTTAGGAAATGCCTAAAAATATGTTGGTGAAATCGGGCATCACCAACATTAGAAATCCCTTACTAAGAAATACATAGGTAAAAATTTGATTTCGACAATTTTTTTAATTTTATTGGTAGCATTGGTTAATTTTGACGTGTAAACCAAAAAAGCGGAGATCGAAATTGAATATGTTGAAAGAAAAGAAGAGATGTTGATGATCCGAGCCATCTTTAAACTATGTTTGTTATTTTTAAATCTGCTGAAGATGTAGTCTGTACATTAATAGAAAAATAACCTTTCCGATTTGTAAAATATTTCTACATCTTCTTCTCCAGGACAATGAATCTTTACATGCATGTGTACGGTCAATAGTTCCAAAAACTTCCTGTGTATCAAATTAAAATTCATCTTCAATTCATTCTAATATTTGTAATGCCGTATTTTTATATATCGAAAAAGGTGAAAAAAAAACATCAGTTTGGTCCAGTTTCTAAAAACTCTCCTCTCATTTTAAATTTTCATCTAAAGAATCTAAAGATATTCAAGACTTAAGTCACATGAAATCACATGAAAAGTATGGTTAAGTATTTCCTAAATGTTTTAGGCAAGCCCAGTGAGCTGTCCTAACTTTAGGCATTTCCTATTACCTTTAGGTATTACTTAATGCCTGGTGAAACGCAAATTGTACTTAGGAAATCCTAAATCCGGTTTAGGTATTACCCAACATTAGGAACTGGTTGGTGAAATCGAGCATCTAATGTTGGTGAAATTCAATTTAGGTAAAGTATTCAATTTAAGTAATTCCTATCTTAGGTAGGTTTTGAAGACCTTAGGTAGGAATTACTCCTACTCCTACTACCTTCCTTCCTAAATTACTTACTTAGGAAATGCCTAAAAACATGTTGGTGAAATCGGGAACTAGGAATTTCTACATCCGGTTTAGGTATTACCTAACTTTAGGAACTGGTTGGTGAAATCGGGCATTAATGCCCTATTTTACCTATTTATATATTTCACCTATATCTATAGATTGGTACGGCCATTTGAGAAACTTGAAAATATTTTCCAGGTTTTTTTTTCTCTTGACCGTTTTAGTAATAACTTTTTTTACCGCAATCCTCTACGATCCTTAGTTTCCCAGATACAGTACTCTACATTCTTATCCGACCACCCTGTACATTCATTTCAATTAAACACCCTGTATTAAACGTATATTTGCAGGTAATAGTTGTTCGAACGCTGATAATAATAGTTCAAACGTCGATGATGAAAGCGACGCCATGAAGGATTCTGGAATATCATCGAACGACGGTTGCAGTAACAAGTTTATGGACGTTATACCGGTACATGATGATGATGACAACGATTTGACTCCATCCAGGTGGGTTCCGTGTATACGGGGTTTTCGTTAATCCGTCGATTGCTGGCTACGAGATAACTCGTAGTTGAATCGGCGAGTTATCTCGTAGTTATATAACGATGATAAGAAAGATTGTAATAAAAGTAAGATTGTTCTAGGCATTTCTGAATGGTTCTGGAATGTTTTTAAATGATTCTGGATACTTGAGGAAAATGGCTCGTTGATTTTTTAAACGAGAAAATTAATGAATTTATGTATTTATTTATTTATTTATCTATTTTTTTTTTGTTATTTTTGTATACGCAGTTCTTCTTCTTCTCCAAGTGCCAACATTCCTCTACAACGAATAATCCAATCGGTGAAGCACACCAAACGGAGGACTTCGAAGGTGATCAAAGAGGGCTGGTTGGTGCATTTCACCAATAAAGATAAAACGGTATTAAGGATTTTTCGATATTTAATCTTAGAAAAAATGAACGAATTAATAAATGATTGAATGATTGAATGATTGAATGATTGAATGATTGAATGATTGAATGATTGAATGATTGAATGATTGAATGATTGAATGATTGAATGATTGAATGATTGAATGATTGAATGATTGAATGATTGAATGATTGAATGATTGAATGATTGAATGATTGAATGATTGAATGATTGAATGATTGAATGATTGATAGATTGAACGATTGAACCAACCAAAGAATGAATGAATCAATGAATGAATCAATCATTGGGTGATTGAACCAACCAAAGAATGAATGAATCAATCAATCAATCGCTGAATGGACGAATGGATTAGCGAGTGAATGAATCGAATGAATGAATTAGTGAGTAAATGAATCGAATGAATGAATGAATCGAAGGAATGAATAAATGAACTTTTACGTTTCAGGTGCGAAGGCACTTTTGGAGACTCGACACCAAATCGATCGTTCTATTTCAAAACGAAACCAGTTCGAAATACTACAAAGAGATCCCGCTATCCGAAATTTTGACCGTCGATTCGGCCAGAATCAAATACGGAGGTAATAATTTTTGTATTTTTTTTTTCGGTTTTTCTTGGCTAGGACCCCGCACTACGAGTTATCTCGTAGCGCGGAATTCGAACATATCAACATTCGAATCTCTAACTTTAGTGCATAAGGATGGACAAATGTGCAAAGAGAGTTTTTTTTTGTTGCATGTTTTTCATATTTTATGCATTTTCCCAATGTTTAGAATGGATGAAAAACATGGAAAAAATGGAAAAACATGGAGAAAGTGAAATAACATGGCAAAAGTGAAAAAACTTGCAAAAATAGAAAAACGTGAAAAAAGTTACAAAACATGGAAATGTGGAGAAATCTGAAAACAAATGGAAAAAAACTTGGAAAAATGGAAATGATAAAAAAGTGAAGAAACATGGAAAAAGTGAAAAAGTATGGAAAAAATGGAAAACTGAAAAAAATGGAACAAACATGGAAAAAGTGAAAAAACAGAAAAAAGTGGAAACAGTGGAAAAACATGAAAAAAGTGGAAAATTACGAAAAAAGTGGAAAATCATTAATAAAGTGGAAAATCATGAAAAAAGTGAAAAATCATGAAAAAAGTGGAAAATCATGAAAAAAGTGAAAAACATATTTTAAACATGTTTTTAAACATATTTTTACCTGTCTCTAGTAACTTCTCTAGTTAACTTTAAATCGATTTTTTTTTTGCAGAAATCATGCACTGTTTCGAAATCCGAACGGCCAACATCGATTACTTCGTCGGTCAGGATCCCCTTTTCGATTTACGTGACGGCAACATGGTAAATCTGCCGCCCCCCGACAGCGGCGTCGGCGCCTACTTGGCCAAAAGTTGGGAGAGTTCCATTCGACAGGCCATCGTTCCAGTTCAGGCCAATGCCAGTAAGTTATACATATATTTATTCCTGAAAATTAACTTATTATTCACTTTTTATTCACTTATTAACTTGTTATTCACTTGTTATTCGCTTGTTATTCGCTTGTTATTCGCTTGTTATTTACTTGTTATTCAATTGTTATTCACTTGTTATTCACTTGTTATTCGCTTGTTATTCACTTGCTATTCACCTGTTACTCACTTGTTATTCACTTGTTATTCACTTGTTATTCACTTGTTATTCACTTATTACTAACTTGTTATTCACTTGCTATTCACCTGTTACTCACTTGTTATTCACTTGTTATTTGCTTGTTATTCACTTATTATTTTATTCACTTTTAATTCACTTGATGCCGAATTAAGCTGATGCAGCGTCAAAAACGGTGCAACGTAGAACATTTCTTGAACCATTTAGACTGTTTCAGTATAATTTAGAATGCGTCAGAACCATTTAGACCGCTTCCTATTCACTAAGAACATTTCTAGAACCATTTAGACTCCTTCAGAACTATTTAGAACGCTTCAGATTCACTTAAAACATTTCTAGAACCATTTAGACTGCTTCAGAACCATTTAATACGCTCCAGTTTCACTTAGAACATTTCTAGAGCCATTTAAACTGCTTCAGAACCATTTAGATCGCTCTAGATTCACTTAGAACATTTCTTGAGCAATTTAAGCTAGTTCAGAACCATTTAGAATGCTTCAGATTCACTTAGAACATTTCTAGAGCCATTTAAACTACTTCAGAAACATTTATAACACTCCGGATTCACTTTGCACATTTTATGAACCATATAGACTGCTTCAGAACCATTTAGAACGCTTCAGATTCACTTAGAACATTTTTTGAACCATTTAGACTGCTCCAGATTCACTTAGAACATTTCTTGAACCATTTAGACTGTTTCAGTATCATTTAGAATGTGTCAGAACCATTTAGACTGCTTCAGAACCATTTAGAACGCTTCAGATTCACTTAGAACATTTCTAGAGCCATTTAAACTACTTCAGAAACATTTATAACACTCCGGATTCACTTTGCACATTTTTTGAACCATTTAGACTGCTTCAGAACCATTTAGAATGCTTCAGATTCACTTGGAACTGTCTATAACTATTTAGAACGCTCCAGAATCATTTAAAACAGTTTAGAATCATTTAGAACGCTTTAGAAGCTTTAAGAACGCTCCAGATTCATTTAGAATTGTCTAGAACCATTTAGAACGCTCCAGAATCATTTTTAGTTATCTAAAACCATTTAAAACGCTTCCGAACCATTTAGAACCCTCCTGTTTCGCTTAGAACAGTCTATACTCATTTAGACAGCTCCAGATTCGCTTAGAATTGTCTAGAACCATTTAGAGCAATCCAGAATGCACTAAAAACATGCAATATTCGTTAATAAACCTCCCTCAAACCCGACTCTACCCCGATTCTACCATCCGGTACCCCTTTCTAACAACTTCTACAACCCCTCCCTGTTCCCCTATCTATTTTCTGCGCATGCGTAACAGAACAGTTCTGGACTGAAAAACTCCGAGAGAACCAAATTCCTCGTCCATAATACATTTTCGTATTTTTTAATTTTTGCTCTATTATTTAGAACACGAAGAGTCCGGAACGAGCGAAGAACAAACCGTCGATATGAGCCAGCTCTACCAGATCTATCCGGACGAAGTGTTGGGTTCCGGACAGTTCGGAATCGTCTACGGCGGTGCCCATCGGAAAACCGCCCGGCCCGTCGCCATTAAGGTACGTTTATACATTGTTTTACGTGACGTCACGTAATTGACGATAGTGAGCAATCCTTGGTGGTTTAGTGTGATTGGTTAAAAACGTTGAAAGGAGCTGTGATGACGTCATGCGGGCTCTTTTATGAGAGTTTTTGAGCAATCCTTGGTTGTTTAGTATGATTGGTGAAAAAAGGAAAAAGTGGAAAAAAAAATTGAAAAAACATGGAAAAAGTGAAAAAGCAAGGAAAAAAAGGAAACACATGAATAAAGTTACATAACATGGAAAAAATTGAAAAACATGGAATAGGTGAAAAAATATAGAAAAAGTGGAAAAAGTGACAAAATATGGAAACAAGTGGAAAACATGGAAAAATTTGAAAAACAGCAAAAATGTAAAAAACATGAAAAAAGTGGAAAAACGTAAAAATAAGTGAAAAAAAAACAGAAATACAAGAAAAATGTGGTACAAAGTAAAACATGGAGAAAATTGAAAAAAACATGGAAAAAATGTGAAAAAAACATGAAAACAAGGGAAAAAACATGGAAAAACGCGGAAAAAAGAAATGTGCTTTAAATTATTAGTTTTATTTGCATATTTTTAATAATTTTTCGGCATATTTATTATCATTCAATGAACAATTGAAAAGGCATGGAAAAAGTGGAAAAGCAAGAAAAAAAAAGGAAACACATGAATAAAGTTACATAACATGGAAAAAATAAAAAAACATGGAATAGGTGAAAAAACAGAAAAAGTGTAAAAGCATGAAAAAAGTGAAAAAATATAGAAAAAGTGGAAAAAGTGACAAAATATGGAAACAATTTAGTGGAAAAATGTAAAAACATGGAAAGAAGTGGAAAAATGTAAAAACATGGAAAAAGTAGAAAAACGTGGAAATAAGTATAAGTAAAAAAACAAAAATATTTTTAATTATTTTTCGGCATATTTATTGTATTTATAGTTCTATCAACAATTGAAAAAACATGTAAATAGTGGAAAACATCAAAAAAGTTAAAAAACATGAAAAAACGATGAAACATGGAAAGAATGAAAAACATGAAAAAACGTGAAAAAAGTTACAAAACGTGCATAAAATTGAAAAACGTGAAGAAAGTGGAAAATCACGAAAAACGTGAAAAGGTAAAAAACAGTGGAAAAACATTGAAAAAAGATGCGTGCAATTAATTTTCATATTATTTACATATTTTTAATTTTTTTCAGCACGTTTTTAACGTACAGAAACATGAAAAATGTGAAAAAAAGAGAAAAAATATGGAAAAAGTTAAAAACATAATAAACATGAAAAAAATAGAAAAACACGGAAATGTGTCGAAAAGTCGAAAAACATCGAAAAACACGAAAAAAGTGTTAAAAGATGGAAAAAGTGAAAACCCATGGAAAAACGAATAAACGCGGAAAAAACAAATGCGCATTATATCGTTATTTTTATGTGCATATTTTTAATTTTAAAAATTTTTTTTAAAAACACATTTTTAACGTTTTTTATCGGCATATTTATTAATATAGGTGATCGATAAATTGCGATTTCCCACGAAACAAGAGGCCCAATTGAAGAACGAAGTGGCCATTTTGCAGAATCTCAGCCATCCGGGCGTCGTGAAAAACAATTGAAAAAACATGGAAAATGTGGAAAAACATGAAAAAAATGAAAAAAAAATAATAGAAAAACGTGAAAAAAATAAATAAAAACATGAAAAATGTGGAAAAAAGTGAAAAAATATGGAAAAAGTTAAAAAAACTTGAAAAATGGAAAAACATGAAAAATGTCAAAAAATTTAAAAACGTCGAAAAACGTGAAAAAATTGGTAAAAGATGGAAAATGTGAAAAACCATGGAAAAAAACGAATAAACGCGGAAAAAAGAGATGTGCTTTACATTATGTTTATTAATTAATTTTTTTTCAGCACATTTTAACGTATATTTATTAATATAGGTGATCGATAAATTGCGATTTCCCACGAAACAAGAAGCCCAATTGAAGAACGAAGTGGCCATTTTGCAGAATCTCAGCCATCCGGGCGTCGTGAAAAACAATTGAAAAAACATGGAAAATGTGGAAAAACGTGAAAAAATTTAAAAAAATAGAAAAACGTGAAAAAAATAAATAAAAACATGAAAAATGTGGAAAAAAGTGAAAAAATATGGAAAAAGTTAAAAAACTTGAAAAAATGGAAAAACATGAAAAATGTCGAAAAATTGAAAAAACTTCGAAAAACGTGAAAAAATTGGTAAAAGATGGAAAATGTGAAAAACCATGGAAAAAAAACGAATAAACGCTGAAAAAAATGTGCTTTAAATTATTTTTATTAGCAAATTTTATTTTTTTTTTTTTAGCATATTTTAACGTTTATTATCGGCATATTTATTAATACAGGTGATCGATAAATTGCGATTTCCCACGAAACAAGAGGCCCAATTGAAGAACGAAGTGGCCATTTTACTGAATCTCAGCCATCCGGGCGTCGTGAAAAACAATTGAAAAAACATGGAAAATGTGGAAAAACATGAAAAAAATAAAAAAAAAAAAAAAATAGAAAAACGTGAAAAAAATAAATAAAAACATGAAAAATGTGGATAAAAATGAAAAAATATGGAAAAAGTTAAAAAACTTGAAAAAATGGAAAAACATGAAAAATGTCGAAAAATTGAAAAAACGTCGAAAAACGTGAAAAAATTGGTAAAAGATGGAAAATGTGAAAAACCATGGAAAAAAACGAATAAACGCGGAAAAAACAAATGCGCATTAAATCGTTATTTTTATGTGAATATTTTTAATTTTTTTTCAACACATTTTTAACGTTTATTATCGGCATATTTATTAATACAGGTGATCGATAAATTGCGATTTCCCACGAAACAAGAGGCCCAATTGAAGAACGAAGTGGCCATTTTGCAGAATCTCAGCCATCCGGGCGTCGTCAATTTGGAGAGAATGTTCGAAACGCCCGAACGGATATTCGTCGTTATGGAGAAATTGAAAGGTGACATGTTGGAGATGATTTTATCGCACGACAAAGGCCGATTGACCGAACGCGTTACAAAATTCATCATTACCCAGGTGAGTACGAGAGAGATAGAGAGAAAGAGAGAGTTTAGTTTTTGTCTTGTTTTGTATTGGTTCCTGTGGGCGTTTTAAATGGTTCCAATGGTGGAAGCGTTCTTAATTGTTTTAGATCATTTCTAAATGATAATGAAGCTTTCTAAATGGTTCTGGAGCGTTCTAGACTGTTCTAAATGATTCTGGAAGCGTTCTAGATGGTATTGAAGCTTTCTAAATGATTCTAGAAGCATTCTAAATGATTCTGAAGCGTTCTAATTGGTTTTGAAGCGTTGTAAATAATACAGAAGCTTTCTAAACGAAACTGAAACGTTCTAAGTTATCCTGGAGCTTTCTAAATGATTCTGGATCGTTCCAGACAGTTCTAATTTCTTCTAGATCGTTCTAAATTAAATTGAAGCTTTCTAAATGATGATGAAGGTTTGTAAATGAATTTGGAGCATTTTAAACAGTTCTAAATGGTACTGGAAGCATTTTTAGTTGTGCTGAACCTTTCTAAGTGACTATGGAGCGTTCTAAATGATGCTGAAGCTTTCTAAATGATAATAAAGGTTTCTAAATGACTGTGAAGCGATCTGAATAGTTTTTAATGATTCTGGAGCCTTCTAAATTATGCTGAAGCTTTCTAAATGATGCTGAAGCTTTTCAAATGATAATGAAGGTTTCTAAATAATTGTGGAGCGCTCTAGATAGTTTTAAATGATTTTGGAGCGTTTTAAACAGTTCTAAATGGTACTGGAAGCATTTTTAGTTGTGCTGAACCTTTCTAAATGACTATGGAGCGTTCTAAATGATACTGAAGCTTTCTAAATGATAATAAAGGTTTCTAAATGACTGTGAAGCGTTCTGAATAGTTTTAAATGATTATGGAGCCTTCTAAATAATCCTGAAGTTTTCTAAAATGATGATGAAGCTTTTCAAATGATAATGAAGGTTTTTAAATAATTGTGGAGCGCTCTAGATAGTTTTAAATGATTCTGGAGCGATTTAAACCGTTCTGAATGGTACTGAAAGCATTCTAAGTTGTATTGAACCTTTCTAAATGACTATAGAGCGTTCTAAATGATACTGAAGCTTTCTAACTGATAATGAATGATTGTGCAGCGTTCTGAATAGTTTTAAATGATTCTGGAGCGTTCTAAATGTTTCGGGATCGTTCTAAATGGTTCTAAACTCTATTCACATTTCAAATATGGACGATGTAAACGAAGCTATTGGATGAAGGTAAGTTCTAATGCACTGATCACGCGCTAATCTGGCTTTACATCGGCCATATTACAAATATGAATAGGGTTATAGAACGTTCCAGATTCATTTTGAACTGTCTGGAACCATTTGGAACAATCCAGAAAAATTTAAAACTGTCTAGAACCATTTAGACTGCTTCAGAATCATTTAGAACGCTAAGCGACAATTTAAAATTGTCTATAAACGTTTTGAACGCTCCATATTCACTTTGCACATTTCTAGAACCATTCAAGCTGCTTCAGAATGATCTAGAACATTTGTAAAACCATTTAGACTGCTTCAGAACCATTAACAACATTTCTAGAACCACTTAGACTGCTTCAGAATTATTTAGAACGCTCCAAATTCCTTAGAACTCCAATTCTAAATTCCTCAGAATCATTTAGAACGCTAAACGACAATTTAAAAGTGTCTATAAACCTTTAGAACGCTCCAGAATAACTTTGAACATTTCTAGAACCATTCAAACTGCTTTAGAACCATCTAGAACATTTGTAGAACCATTTAGACTGCTTTAAAATCATTTCGAACGCTCAGCCACAATTGTCTATAAACCTTCAGAACGCTCTAGATTTACTTAGAACTCTCCAGAACCATTTAGAAGGCTCCAGAACCATTTAGTCTGCTTCAGAACCATTGAAAACCCTCCAAATTCTCTTAGAACTTTCTATAACCATTTAAAACCTTCCACATTCACTTAGACCTGCCCGGAACCCTTCAGACCTCTCCAGAACCACTTTAGACCGCTTCAAAACCATTGAAACCCTTCCGAATTCTCTTAGACCTGTCTATAACCATTTAGAACCTTCCACATTCACTTAGACCTGCCCGGAACCCTTCAGACCTCTCCAGAACCACTTAGACCGCTTCAAAACCATTGAAAACCTTCCGAATTCTCTTAGACCTGTCTATAACCATTTAGAACCTTCCACATTCACTTAGACCTGCCCGGAACCCTTCAGACCTCTCCAGAACCACTTAGACCGCTTCAAAACCATTGAAACCCTTCCGAATTCTCTTAGACCTGTCTATAACCATTTAGAACCTTCCACATTCACTTAGACCTGCCCAGAACCCTTCAGACCTCTCCAGAACCACTTTAGACCGCTTCAAAACCATTGAAAACCTTCCGAATTCTCTTAGACCTGTCTATAACCATTTAGAATCTTCCACATTCACTTAGACCTGCCCGGAACCCTTCAGACCTCTCCCGGAACCATTTACACCGCTCCACAATACAAAATACGCTTTAAAAACCGTAAAATTCCTTTCGTTTCTCGTTCGTTCAGATATTGGTGGCCCTGAAGCATTTGCACAGCAAGAACATCGTCCATTGCGATTTGAAGCCGGAGAACGTGCTGTTGAGCAGCGACAGCGAATATCCCCAAGTGAAATTGTGCGATTTCGGTTTCGCCCGGATCATCGGCGAGAAATCCTTTCGGAGGTCCGTCGTCGGGACGCCAGCTTATCTCGGTAAGCGTTTTTTTACCTACCGTTATTTTTTTTTATCGTATGTATTATACAGGGTGTCTCATCGGAAGAAGTGACCGGCTGTATGTTAGAAACTGATTGGGTTCCGTAGATTTTGTTTTGTTTTATAGATAATAATTTAGGTCATTTTGTTGAAGATTATTAAATTTTAGCGTAGAATTTCATCCCTAACCCACCCGTAAAAAAGTATTAAGCTTGGAATTTTGATAGGATTTCTGTTGTCTAAGAAAAAAACTTTATATGAACAAATCAAATGTGTTTTCAACTATTTCCATGTTTTTTTTGACTACCGTTTTTTTTTTTCACTTTTTCCGTGTATTTTACACTTTTTTTCATGATTTTTTTCCAATTTATGCAATATGGAAAAAAATTGGAAAGAAACGGAAAATTATGAGAAATCATGGAAAAAGTGAAATAATATGGATAAAAGTGGAGAAGACACGACAAAAGTAAAAATACATGGAAAAAAAAAGAAATAAATTGAAAAAACGTGAAAAAAGTGGAAAACATAGAATAATTTGAGAAATATGGAAAAGGTGGAATAAATGAAAAAAAAAACATGAAAAAAGTGGAAAAAGAAGAATAATTTGAAAAAAGTGGAAAAACAGAATAATTTTTATACAGGGTGTTCCATATTGACACTCTATTATTTAGGGGACGATTCTTGGACACATTTTAAGAAAAAAACTTTATATGAACAACAAATCAAATGTGTTTTCACCTTTTTCCATGTTTTTTCATTTTTTTGCGTTTTTTTTTTTTCACTTTTTCCGATTTTACACTTTTTGTCCATGGTTTGTTTTATATTTTTCCAATTTATGCAATAAGGAAAAAATTGGAAAAACGGAAAATTATGAGAAAGCATGGAAAAAGTGAAATAATATGGAAGAAGACACGACAAAAGTAAAAATACTTGGTAAAAAAGAAAAATATGGAAAAAACGTGAAAAAAGTGGAAAATAGAATAATTTGTGAAGTACGAAAAAAGTGGAAAAATTGGAAAAACATGAAAAAGCATGGAAAAAATGAAAAAAAAAGTGGGGAAAACATGAAAAAAAAAACATAAAAAATTAAAAAACATGAAAAAAGTGGAAAAAACAGAATAATTTGAAAAAAGTACATTTCACAAAAATAATATGCTTGATAAAATTCTCTGCATGACTTGTATATCCACAATCAGGTATAAAATGTTTAAAAAATTGCCTTAAATATTTAAGGCATCCCTGTATATACAGGGAGAACAAAAAAGAATGATTTAGATCGAGAGAATAATACGCACAAACTATAGTGGAGTGCAAAATGTTTGAATTGAATTTGATGAAATTGAATTGAAATTCTGATTAAGTAGCAAATAGAAAAGAATTATATAAAAAGTAGAAAAAAACATTTTTTTTTCTGAAATGTAAGATAAACTTTTTCCCTTTTTGCCTCGGTTTTCCACCTTTCGCAATGTTTCTCCACTTTTTGCATTGTGTTTCCACTTTTTTTCAATGTTTTTCACCTTTTTCCATGTTTTTTTCACTTTTTCCGTGTATTTTCCACTTTTTTCCATGGGTTTTTTCTATATTTTCCAATTTATGCAATATGGAAAAAATTGGAAAAACGGAAAGATATAAAATGGCATGAAAAAAGTGGAAAACATGGAAAAAGTGGAAAAATATGAAAAAAAAAATTGGAAAAAATCAATCGGGTATAAAATGTTTAAAAAATTGCCTTGAATATACCAGGAAAACAAAAAAGAATGATTTGGATCGAGAGAAAAATATGCACAAACTGTAGTGAAGAGCAAAATGTTAATTGAAATTCTGATTAAATAGCAAATAGAAAAGAAGTAAAGAATTATGTAAAAAGTATAAAGAATATTTTTTTTTTGTGAAGAAACGTAAGATAAACTTTTTCCCCGTTTGTATACAACTTTTTGGGACACGCCGTATATCTAATTAATGTTTTTTTTTGGGATTTTTTCAGCTCCGGAGGTGCTCCGGAACAAAGGGTACAACAGATCATTGGACATGTGGAGCGTCGGGGTAATAATTTACGTGAGTTTGAGCGGAACTTTTCCGTTTAATGAAGATGAAGATATTAACGAGCAGATACAAAATGCCGCTTTTATGTATCCGCCGAATCCGTGGAAGGAAATTTCTTCGGACGGTAAGTGTAATTATTTATTATTCAGATATAGTTAACTTTTTTTATTCTTCTTTTTTTTTTCTTATTACATTCGTTTCTTGTGGATTGTTGTATACGGCTAGGAATCGATTCTGTTTCGGGTTTTCTGCGTATTTTGTTGCTTTTTTTCGCTTTTTTCATGTTTGTTCGTTTTTTCATGTTTTTCCACTTTTTTTTTATTTTTTCCATTTTTTGCACGGTTTTTCCTCTTTTCCATGTTTTTCATTTTTTTCATGTTTGTTCACTTTTTTCTTGTTTTTTACTTCTTTCCATGTTTTACCACTTTTTTTATTTTTTCCATTTTTTGCACGGTTTTTCCTCTTTTTCTTTTTTTATATTTTGTCACTGTTTTCATGTTTTTCCACTTCTCTCTAGTTTTTCACTTTTTTCTGTATTTTTCCATTTTTTGCATGGTTTTTTCTTCTTCATTTTCTCTTTTTCAAGTTTTGTTTTTGGATTATTTTCATTTTTTCCATATTTTTCCACTTTTCCATTTTTTTATTATTTTCACTTTTCCCATGTTTATTCACTTTTTGTCATGTTTTTCCACTTTTTGCCATGTGTTGCCATTCTTTCCGTGTTTTTCACCTTATTCCATGTTTTTCCCGTGTTTTTTTTCCACTTTTTGCATGTTTTTTTATATTTTCCCAATTTATGCAATATAGAACAAATTAGAAAAAACGGAAAAATATATATGAAAAATATGAAAAAAGTGGAAAAATATGAAAAAACGAAAAAATATAAAAAAAACATGGAAAAAGTGAAAAAAACATGGAAAAAAGTTGAAAAACGTAGAATAATTTGAAAAACATGAAAAATGTGGAAAAATATGGAAAAACGTAAAAATATGAAAAGACATGGAAAAAGTGAAATAAAAACATGTAAAAAAAAACTGAAAAACGCAGAATAATTTGAAAAACATCAAAAAAGTGGAAAAATATTTCTATATTTAAAAAAAAAAGAGAAACGGAAAAATATGAAAAAGCTTGGAAAAAGTGCAAAAACATGGAAAAAAGTGAAAAGAAATTGGAAAGAACATGAAAAAGTGCGAAAACATGAAAATTTAAAAACCATGAGAAAGTAAAAAAACACGGACAAAAGTAAAAAAAAACATGGAAAACAGAGAAAGTGAAAAACATGGACGCGCGTATTACCGCTCCGCATTCTTTTCTTTTCTCTCAACATTAAAAATTATAACCCCTTTTTTTAAAACTTAAATTAACAAAATTCCAGCCATCAGTTTGATCAACAACCTGCTACAAGTGAAACAAAGAAAACGCTATACGGTCGACAAATCATTGGCCCACATTTGGCTACAGGTAAACCAATTAATTATTATCATACTTATACAGGGTGTCCCAATGAAAAGTAGCCCATTTAATAAGCTTAAAATTTCGCCTAATCATATAAAAACACGGGGTTTTATCAATTATCTTTAATTTTATAACAAATTTTGTTATGCAGAGTGATACTAGAAATTACGCATTACCAGTATACAGGGTGTTTTATGAATATCTCTTTTAAATTTATAGTAACCATTTTTTTTAATGTAACACCTCGTATATTTAGAGGTATTTTGAAAGACGTATTCTTCTACTTTTCAAAAATTTTTATGTCAATGTAACATAACGTTATAGAAAAGTAAAATATATTTGCGAAAACAGCACGTTTTTATACAGGGTGTCTCATAAGTTGATACTTTTTGATACGATTTTTGACTGAATGAAATTAAGATAGCATGTTTTTTTTTTAATTTTAAAAAGTTATTTAATACGGTCATGTTCATTAAAAATTAAAGGAACTGCTCAAAATTGTCGCCATTTTGGTATATTGGAAAATATTCTTAAAAAAATTCAAAAAAAATTTCAATCTTCTTTGTTTTCCAGAATATTAAAAAAAATACTAGAATAATTTGCTTAAAATTAAAATATCTATACGCAGTTAAAAAAATAAGTATTATCTTAAGAAACACCCTGTATTTAGGCGTTTAAAATTAACGATTACCTTACTAAAGGGTCTACTTTTCATTGGGACACCATGTACTAAAAAAACATTAAAACCAAAAAAAAAAAACCGCCGGTCACGGCCTATTTCGATCATTCCTCAACAGGATTACCAGACCTGGTGCGATTTGCGCACGTTGGAAAATCAAGTGGGCGTCCGCTATTTGACGCACGAATCGGACGATCAACGTTGGGAACAGTACAGGGCCGAACTTTGACCCGAAAAGGTCTGCTGGTTGCGCTCCGTGAAAAGATGTCTGATGAGCATGCGCACCTGACGCCCGACACGCCTACTACGAACAAGCTTATTTCGTTAGCCGGTGACGTTTGACGTTGACAGTTGGTGACGTCGACGCGACTCGGGTACTCGATCGCAAGGTAAACAAAAAAAAATATTAAAGCGTATTTTAAGGTTATAATAGTCGGTGCGAAATAAATATCGGTGCACGTCACTGCTATGAGTCATAATTGGTAAAAGCCTTGTGATCAACATTAAAAAATAAATACACTAAATAGATTAAAATTAATACCTGCAGAATTTAATTTAATATAACAAGGGTTAATACAAAAATGTCAAAAAGGAGAATGAAATTATCCAAAAAAATATTTATTATCAAAATTCAACGTTTGTATATGAAATTATTATTATTTTCTTATAGTAGGCTGGTAGGCACTGACTGTCAAATTGCATTGTTGCCGTTTTGTTATCTGATCGGTACTTTTAATTTTCAATTTATTCTTCTTTTTTCTAGTTTACTGGCCTCTACTGGCCGACTGGTTTACTATTAAAGGCTATTCAGTTGAATAATCAAGAAATAAGAATATTTTGCTTAGTTATCTTTTTGACATGTTAGAAATGGCACAATTAGTTAGCTCTATTAATAATTCAGATTCATCAAGTTTTTCCACTTTTGTATGTTTTTCGTGATTATTCACTGTTTTCCATGTTTGTTCACTGTTTTCCATATACATTTTTTACTTTTTTCGTGTTTTTCCACTTTTTCCATGTTTTAATTTTTTTATTTTTCATGTTTTCATGTTTTTTAATTCTTCTGAAAACTTCTGAATCTGAATTATTAGAGCTCAAATTGTGTCATTTCTAACATGTGGAAAAGATAACAGCGCAAAAAATTCTTATTTATTGATTATTCGACTGAATAGCCTTTAGTAGTTGAGGCCAGTATACTAGAAAATAGAAGAAAAAATTGACAAATAAAAATACCGATTGGATGACAAAACTGCAACAATGCAACTTGACAGTCAGTGCCTACCAACCTACTATAAGAAAATAATAATAATTTTATATACAAACGTTGAATTTTGACAATAAATATTTTTTTTGGATGATTTAATTCTGCTTTTTAACATCTTCTATCATCCCTCGTTATTAAATTAAATTTTAGAGGTGGTAATCTTAATCTATTTAGTGTATTTATTTTTTAAAAGTTGTTCACAATGCTTTAGGCAATTATGACGTATAGTAGTGACGTGAATTCATATTTGTTTTGCACCGATAATATGATTGAATGTAATAATGTTGTTGACGTATTAATCAGTTTATTTTGACGGGTCGATCAGATTGTGTGTTTGTATGTATGTATGTTTTTTTTCTCTTTGTGATTTATCTATTATTACGTAAATCGCTTTTGAAGCAAAAAAATAAAATAATAAAAAATACTCAACGGTTGATATGCGAATTGTAAAATATTCACTTAAAGTCATTCCTCAGAATTATTATTATTATTTTAACAATTATTATTTATTTGTAAACTATTATTAATTTTATTGTCTATAAAGGGTGTATCTAAATAACACCGAAAAAAATTTAAGGGGTGATTCTGTGATGAAAATTAAGGTGGGTAATTGGTATAATTTTTTTTGTGAAAAAAACCCTCCCCTGAAACGTTATACCTCTCCGAAAATTGGAAAAAAATTGTTTTTCTTTTTTATTTTCCCTGTATATTAAGCGAAACTCGGGGAATATTATTTGTTAATAAAACTACACGTTTCGAAATTTTTTCAATCCTGAAGTAGGCTTAGAAAGGGTTGAAATACCCTAACACATTTTTTCTTGCAACTTTTTTTTGGATGAAAATTTTTCTTTTTAAAAAATATGGCCAAAAAGACCGATATATTTAACAACTTTTTTATCTCTACAAGTTTTATCAAAAAATCGATCATTTTCAAGAAAAAAATTATTGAACCAAAAATGTTTTTTCAAAAAATGGGTTTTTTTCACCTTAATTGTCACCATAGAATCACCCCTTAATTTTTTTACGGTGTTATTCAGATACACACTGTATATATTATTCGTATATATTTTTTTAATATTTATTTATACAGCGAAAAGGGGCTTTAGTCAGACATTTTTTTATATGTAAAATTTTTTTTTTCTCATTATTAAACTTGTTACAAAACTTCCTCTCTGACTATACACCTTCTGTGTTAACGATTAAAAATAAAAATGAAAAAAAAATTAACTTTCAAGTACCTGTCCTATTTCGAAATAAAACAAAAAAGGTCGTTTTAAATAAAAAAAACCCAATACAAATCACTAAATAATTATTATTTCATTGTACAACAATACATAATGTTTATTATTATACACTTTTTACTTTATACATTTTCTTATTTAATTTAATGATATTACTACCTTAATTACTTTGTACAATATATAATTTGATTTTAAAGCTTATTCCGCAACATTTTTTTTGATGATGTAAAAACAGTGATACTTAATTTACTATTGTCATTAAAATATAAAGAACCGAAACATTAAAAACAAATCTTATAATAATAAAAATTAATTAAAGTTATTAATTAAATTGTTCTTGTAGCGGTTAAGTATTTTATCCTGCCTCGAAATCGCCCGAAAAAAAAAAAATCGCGAAGAACTTACCCTGTTAGAGGAATGTTCTGTACAAAACTTTAAAAAAAAAAACTACAATAAAAAATATAATTTTCAATTTACATAAAATCGTCTAATTAGATTAATTATATAATTATTCATTACGTATGGTCAAGATGTGGTTACTTACCACTTTGGGTTAAGGGGCGTATTATATTACAAACCGACAGATAAGTTTTATCTGTTGGTTTATAATAAATATACAGGGTGTGCAAACGAAATCTAGTCGCGAAAAAAATTGCGTATACTCTGGTAAAAAATATATAAAATTAGAGCCTACAATAATTTTGCTTTGAGAATCTCTAGTCTCGTCGATTTCAGAACACCCTCTATAAATAAACTCAAAAATTATTTAGTATTTGCGCTAAATATATAAGCAATAAAATTTACAAATATTAATAATTCGATTTAAACAAATTGTAAACTCTAAAAATTATTTATACAATACAAACGGAGATTCCTTAATAATTAAACGTCAACAAACATAAAAAAATAATCACAGAATATTTTCAAAAGAAAAATAGGGGGAGCGTACGTTCCGAAATAAATGGGAAAATGTAAATCGGATAAACGAATTTGTTTAACTTACCGATCACCTCGTATACAGGAAGTTCCTAAATATCATGGACATCCGAAAGGGGGTAATTCATTGGCTTATTTTATGACTGAAAGTTCATATAAACATTGCGTAAAAACGCTTCGTTGCCGATCTAGAGGGCGTTAAAATTTTATGATTTCAGGAATCCCCCAGGGGTCTTTTACTTATAACTCGTCAAATACAATTTTTAGGAAATGCGGTTTTCGGCAAGTTAATAGTAATAAATTGAACAATATTTTAGGAAAGTTTGAGCCAAATCGTTAGAGCAGTTTCCGAGAAAATCGCGAAAATACCCAAAAAATGTTTTGCGAAATTTTGAACTTTCTAGTTCTCTTTTCTAGTCTAGTTCCCTTTTCTCCCACAATAAATACATTGCCCGTATTCAGCGCCCACACAATGTAAAACTGTCAAGTTAAAGACGCGACATTAGAGTCACTCTAAAGTTAAAGTGAGGCGCTGAATACGGGCCAATGAATCGCCCGTTTTGTTTAGAAACTTTTTATTCGTACACTTTTTTCGTTACTGTGACCCTTATCCGGAATTTCCACGGGGTCATTTCATTTTCTTTTTCTTATAACTCGATAAATACAATTTCTAAAGAAATGCGGTTTTCCGCGAGTTATTAGTAATAAATGAAACAATATTTTGGGAAAATTTCAGACGAATCGTTAGAGCAGTTTCCGAGAAAAACCCACAAAAACCCAAAATCATCATTTCAAAAAAATTAAAAATGATTTTCTGTACAACTGATTTTTTTCCAATACGAAATTATAACAAATATTGAACCCCTCCTACTCAAATTTTACCCCATACCTAATTTGAGCTAAATTTCTCAAAAATTGCAAGGAGCTCTAAAAAACACAAAAAAATATCCCTGTAGATATTTATAGGAACTTTTAGGTCATAAAATAACCCAAGGGGAATAACCCCCTTTCGGATGAGCACGATGTTTAGTAACACCCTGTATATAAAGAAATCGTACACTTTGGTTAACCAAAACATTTCGTCTCCTAAACGCACACGGGGAAGGGGCGCGAGGCGTAAGGGGGGGCTCGAGGTAAGAAACAGGGGGGGGGGAGTAAAAAAAGTAATTTAAAACAATTACCATACAAAAAAAAAAGAAGAAGAAAACTTAAAAGAATTAGAGCCACGGCGGCCGGTTCATGGCGTCGTACGGCTGTCGCATACTCAACGCCGGATGATAACCGGGCGGGTAGGCGCCGTGCGGAGGCGGCGCCGGCGGCGGCGGCGCCGGCCCCGGCGCCAACAGCCCCTGGTTCAAAACGCCCGCCTGCAGATAGTGCTGGTAGAGCGGCGAGCCGGCGTTCATCAGCTGCGCCTGCGCGTTCTGCATAAACGCCGGCCCCGCCATCGGCGGGTAGGCGGACCGCGACTGCGGCTGCGCCGGCGGCGGCGCCAGAAACGGATAGGCGGGCGCCGCGGCGGCGGCGCTCTGATTGCCCGTTTGATGCGCCGCCGGCCGCGACTCCTTGTAATCCTTGTAGTCCTTGTAGTAGTTGGTCGCCGCCGATCGGAAATCGTCGAGGAAGTTCGGGTAGCCGTCCTTGTCGGCGTAGAGGGACGAGCCGAGGCCGAGCGGCGTCGGCGTCGGGCCGAAGTTGAAGGCGCTGCCCGGCACCACGCTCGACGTTTTCAACGATATGGCGCCGGAGTCGAGCGAGGCGGCCGCGGCGGCGGCGGCGGCGACGGCGGCGCTCTTCAGGCCCGCGTACGACTGGAAGCCCTGGTGGTTGGTTAAGGTCGATTGTGGTTGTTGTTGTTGTTGTTGCTGTTGGGCGTCCATCGAAAGTGCTACTGAAGCGATAGGAAGAGAAAGAAGAGTATGAAAAGTACATGTTATGTGGATGTAAAATAGTAGGGAAGATTTTGTAAAGATGGGCGCTAAAATGGGTACTCAAAGGAGCGTATAGAGAGAGGGGGACTTTTAAGGGAGATAATGTTTTAGAAAAGTTTGAGGCAAATCGTTATAACTGAACGAATATAATTTATAAGAAAATTCGGTGTTCGGCATGTTATTAGCAATAAATTAAACAATGTTTTGGGAAAGTTTGAGACAAATCGTTAGAGCAGTGTCAGAGAAAATCGCGAAAAATCCAAAAAAATTCAAAAATCTGCGCGAAAAATCGATTTTTTAACCGGAAGAGAACTTTTCCTGGTTTCGAAATGTCGATTTTCCGATCGGGCGTGTTCGTTTGCGTTAGATTCGGTATTTTCCCCTCTTCTAAAATGACGATGTGTGACGTCACTTCCCTCCTAACGTTTTTTCCAGAATATCCCCAAGGTTAGACACTTTTCTTTTCCTTATAACTCGGCAAGTATAATTTCTAAGGAAATGCGGTTCTCGCCAAGTTATTAGCAGTAAATTATACAATATTTTTTGAAAGTTTGAGACTAATCGTTAGAGCGTCAGAGAAAATGGCGAAAAACCCAAAAAAAAAATCCAAAATCTGCGCGAAAAATCGATTTTTCACCCCGAAGAGAACTTTTCCGGTTTTCCAAACGTCGATTTTTGAATCGCGCGTGCTCGTTTACATACGATTCACTACTTCCCCCCCTCTAAAAGTACAACGTGTAACGTCACTTCCCTTCTACCAGTGTTCTGGAATTCCCGGGGCCCAGGTAACATTCTTTTTCATAAAAAAGAGTTATAAAACGTGGCAAATACAATTTCTAAGAAAATGCCATTTACGCCAAGTTATTAGTAATAAATTAACCAACATTTTAGGAAAGTTTGAGCCAAATCGTTAGAGCAAATTCCGAGAAAACCCCGAAAAACCTCAAAGAAAAAAAAAATCCAAAAATTCTTACCGTTTTTATTGGTCTTCCTCTTCTTCGGCTTCTTCTCCGCAACCGCCAGCGTCTGTTGGTTCCCCTTCAACTCGCCCGGCACCATCCCCTGGTGGTTCTGCAACTCCGTCATCTGTCTGTTGTACAACGAAGCCGTACCGGCCTGCGCGATCGATTGATTGTACGACTGTATGGCCGCCATATTGGCCTGACTGAAGATCGCCTGGTTCCCCATCGGCTTGTTCAACAGGTGCATGTTGTTCTGCATGTTCTGCAACCCCACCATCATGCCCGGATCGCCGCCGAATTGATCGACGATATGCGACAGATTCGCCATGGTTCGGGCCGACACGAGGTTCCTGGATTGTTGCGATTGCTGCGAATTGGTACCCGACTCGATCACGTTTTTGTACGGCACCATATTGGGGTTCGGGTACCGCATGTGCGCCGCCAATTCGCTCGAAGTCGCCGCTTTGGATTGCGCGGTACCCGACGGTACCGATATGGTGGAGGCGGCCGGGTACTCGGGACCCGTGTAACCCATATTGGTATATTTCGACATGTCGATTTTGTTTTGGTGCTGTTGCATGTAATTGATGGTCGGGTTCCCGTACAATTCGTCTTGTTGTTGTAAGGCGACGTGGTGATGGTTCTTCGGGTCGGGTATGTTCTGGTGCACGTACTCCTTTTGGGTACCGTCGGCGGGTACCGGCTTTTTCAGTTCGATTTGTTGGGCGAGTCGCTGATCGATTTCGAACCGTTGGTTCGCGATCTGCTCGTTGTCGTTGTAGGCGCGCTTCTTCACCGGAAACACCGCCGATTTCTCGGCGCGGTGCTCGTCGTCGGGTTCCGGTGCGCGAATACACTCGGCGCCGGGCGATCGCCGCGCCGGATTCACACCGGGCGACCGCCGCGGCAACACCGTAGGCGAATGCGGCGAATACGAAGCCGGCGCCGAACTCGCCGCCGGCGCCGAATTCGCCGTATAGTTCTTGGCGCCGCCCTCGTAGTAATAGTTCCCTTCGGCGTTGTAAGGCGGCGTCGGATTGGCGCTCGAATAGCTCGGCGCGTGCGCGTAGTAAGGCGAATAATACGAACCCGATTCGGCGCCGTTGGGCGTGTAGATGTGCTCCGAGTAGTGGGGATAGGGCGAGGGCGGCGGGTTCTCCTTGGGGCTGCTCGATTTGTCGGGGCTCGATTTGGTCGAGACGGTGTCCTGGTAGAACCCGACGCGGATCTGGCCGTTGATGGTCGAATAGGAGGCCTTGGGCGAGACGTCGGGACGCGGCGACGCCGTGACGGGCGACGCCCCCGACGGTGATCGGTGCATCGGCGACGGATAGGGCGCCGGGTAGGCGCTGCGCTCGTCCATGCCGACGCGCGGCGAGTCCATGTCCTGGCTGAAGCTCGATCTGGAAAAGGGGCCGGAGATTTTTCCGATGTTAGATCGGGTGGATATTTGGGATATCTAATGCTAGTTTACAGATGTTTTTACGGTTTTTTTTTAGTGGGTTCTTGAGGGTTCTAAATGGTTCCGGGAACGTTTTACGTGGTTCTGGAGAGTTCTAAATGGTTTTGGAAGCGTTTTACGTGGTTCTGGAGAGTTCTAAATGTTCCTGGAGCGATCTAGATGATTCTAGACGGTTCTAAATGGTTATTGTCTAAATGGATATTACTGAATGATTCTGGAGCGTTCTACATGGTTCTATGCAGGTCTAAATGGTTCTGGAGCGATCTAGATGGTTTGGGGCCGTTCTAAATGATTTGGAAGCGTTCTACGTGGTTCTATGTAGTTCTAAATGGTTCCGGGAACGTTTTACGTGGTTCTGGAGAGTTCTGAATGGTTTTGGGAGCGTTTTACGTGGTTCTATGCAGGTGTAAATGGTTCTGGAGCGATCTAGATGGTTTGGGGGCGTTCTAAATGATTACGTGGTTCTGGATAGTTCTAAATGGTTCTGGAAGCGTTTTACGTGGTTCCGGATAGTTCTAAATGGTTCTGGAAGCGTTTTACGTGGTTCTATGCAGTTCTAAATGTTCCTGGAGCGATCTAGATGATTCTAGACGGTTCTAAATGGTTGGAGATATAACTTGATTGATTCTGGAGCGTTCTACATGGTTCTATGCAGGTCTAAATGGTTCTGGAGCGATTTAGATGGTTTGGGGGCGTTCTAAATGATTTGGAAGCGTTCTACGTGGTTCTATGTAGTTCTAAATGGTTCTGGGGCGATCCAAATTATTCTAAACGGTTCTTGAGATGGTTTTGGGGGCGTTCTAAATGGTTCTGATACTTCTGATTAGTTCTGACATGGGAGCATCCTAAATGAAATTCTGAATAGTTCGGAAGCGTTCTAAATGTTTAGCTAGGTTCTATGCAGTTCTAAATGGTTCTGGAACGATCTGGACGATTCTAGGCGGTTTTCAATGGTTCGGGGGGCGTTTTAAATGGTTCTAGATAGTTCCAAATGATTCTGGGGGCGTTCTAACCGATTTTAGACAGTTCTAAATGATTAAGGGCGCGTTCTAAACGATTCTAGGCAGTTCGAAATGGTTCTAGACAGTTCTAAATGATTCTAGACAGTTCTAAATGAATCTGGGGTGCGTCTTAAATGATTCTAGATTGTTCTAAATGATTATGGAGCATTCAAAATGATTCTGGGTGAGCGTTCTGAATGGTTCTAAAGAGTTCTAAATGGTTATGGGGGCTTTCTAAATAGTGCTAGAAAGTACTGAATGGTTCTAGGGGTGTTATGGTCCTGGGAGCGTTATAAATGATTCTAAACGGTTTGAAATGATTCTAGACCGTACTATATGGTTCTAGATAGTTCTAAAATGGTTCCAGGAGCGTTCTAAATGGTTCTGGGGTCGCTCTAAATGCTTCTGGGGGCTTTCTAAATGATACTAGATAATTTGGAATGTTTCATGAGCGTTATAAATGGTTCTAAACTGTTTGAAATGATTCTGGAGCGTTCTAAATGGTTCTAGGGGCTTTCTAAATGGTACTAGATAATTTGGAATGATTCATGAGCGTTATAAATGGTTCTAAACAGTTTGAAATGATTCTAGAGCGTTCTAAATGGTTCAGAGGGCATTTGGGGTCGTTCTAAATGGTTCTGGCTGCGTTCTAAATGGTGCTAGATAGTTCTAAATGATTCTGGGGGCGTTCTAAATAACGCTAGATAATTTGGAATGATTCAGGAGAGTTTTAAATGATTCTGGAGCGTTCTAAATGGTTCTGGAGCGTTCTAAATGATTCTGGAGCGTTCTAAATGATTCTGGGTGCATTCTAAACAGTTCTAAACCAGCAACCTTATATAAACTAATGTAACTTATTAGAATGTATACACACCTTTCGGACACGCTGCTACCGGTGCTGACCCTCCTCTGTCTCGTCGCCGTCCCCGCCGCTCCCGCCACCGCCCCCGCCCCTACCGCCTGCTGCTGCTGCTGCTGCTGCTGCTGCTGCACCTCCTCCTTATCCTTCTCCTTCTCGACGGCCTCGATCCTCTTCGTCGCCGGCTGCGCCGCCGCGGCCGGTTGCACCTTCGGCGCCCCGAACGCCTTGAACCAAGCGCTCAAATTCGGCGTGGCGCCGCCCCCGCCCGCCTCGTCGTCCTTCTTATCATCGACGACCTTCTTATCCGTCGCCGCCTCCGTCGATTTCTCCCTCTCCGCTTCCGCCTCGGGTTCCGCTTTGGGCGCCGAGTCGGGCGCCGAGTCGGGCGCCGCGTCGGGTTCGTCGCGCGACGCCGATCGCTCGGCGAACCGATGCTTGCCGAAGCTGTCGAGCACCGAACCCAAGCTCAATTTGGGCGCGTTCGTGTCCGTTTTGACGATCAGCGAATTCTTAGAGCCGTCTTTGAGCTTCGCGGCGAACGGCTCGTCGACGGCGGCCGGTTTGTTGGAGCCCAGAGCGTTCGATATCAAGTTGCCCTTGCTCTTGCCCGGCTGCAGGCGATCGATGGTCCGTTGGATTTCGCGCCGTTTGAAGAACCTCGACGGGTCCCTGAACGGTTTCTTCTTCGCGTGGTCTTTGAGCGATTGAGCGGGTTTGTTGGGGGTTTTCTTGGGCGGATTGGGCGCCGCCGGTGGTTCGGGTTCTTCCAAAATGTACGAGGGCGAGTTGCTGGCCGAGCTGAATTCGGCGAATTTCGGCGTATCGTCCAGCCATTTGTTGATGTCTTTGAGCGTCTGCTCGGTGGCTATGCTTAGAGCGTCCATGTGATGAGACGCGGCGGCGGCGGCGGTTTTGTTAGAGCCGGACGGCTTCGGAGATTCGGAGCCGTCCGGAGCGACGGGTTCCGCTTGGGTTCGGGCCGGTTCGGCGGCGGCGGCGGCGGCGGCGGCGGCGTTGAATTTGATCTCGCTCTTCGCTTTGAGCTTCTCGATGGTTTCGCGGAGCTTGTTGTGCTTGTCTTTGGGCTTCGGCGATGATGATGACGAGATCGTCGAGAGGGCTTCGGGTTTCTTCGGGTTTTTGTCGTCGAACGGGCGCGTCGGCGTCCGGCCTGCGAACGATGATGATGATGATGATGAGAAATTATGAGAAATTACGGAAAAATGATGATGAAAAAAAGTGTACGATGTACGAGGGCGAGTTTCGGACCTGCTAATGATGAAAAATGATGACGATGATAATAATAAAAATGATGATGAAAAATGCGATATACGAGGTCGAGTTTCGATCCGCTAATGATGAAAAATTATGATAAATATGATAATAAAATTTGTGATGAAAAATGCGATATACGAGGTCGAATTTCGATCTGTTAATTATGAAAAATGCGATAGACGAGGTCGAGTTTCGACCTGCTAATGATGAAAAATAATAATAAGAAAGGATGATGAAAAATGCGATATGCGAGGGCGAGTTTCGACCTGCTAATTATGAAAAATGATGATGAAAAATAATAATAAGAAAGGATGATGAAAAATGCGATATGCGAGGGCGAATTTCGACCTGCTAATTATGAAAAATGATGATGAAAAATAATAATAAGAAAGAACGATGAAAAATGCGATATGCGAGGGCGAGTTTCGACCTGCTAATGATGAAAAATGATGAAAAATAATAATAAGAATGGATGATGAAAAATGCGATATGCGAGGGCGAGTTTCGACCTTTTAATGATGAAAAATGATAATATAAAAATGATTTTTGGGTTCGAGACGGTTCCGAATGGTTCTGGAGCGTGACTAAATGGCTTTAGACAGTTCCAAATGGTTCCAATTGATTCTGGAGCGTTCTGAATGATCAGGGCGGCGTTCTAAATGATTCTAGACTGTTCTTAATGATTTTAGACTGTTCTAAATGATTCTAGAGTGATCCTAAATGATTCTAGACTGTTCTAAATGATTCTAGACTATTCCAAACGATTCTAGACTGTTCTAGAAGATTATGAGGGCGTTCTAAATCATTTTAGACAGTAATAATTGATTCTGGAACGTTCTAAATTATTCTGGGTAGTTCTAAATGGTTCTAGACAGTTCTAAATGATTTTGGAGGGTTCTAAATAATTCTAGACTGTTCTAAATGATTCTGGGAGACGTTCTAAATGATTCTGGGAGGCGTTCTAAATGATTCTGGGAGGCGTTCTAAATAATCCTAGACATTTTTAGATGATTCTAAGAGGGGTTTTAAATGATTCTAAACAGTTTTAATTAATTCTGGAGCGTTCTAAATGCTAATGGGGGCGTTCTAAATGATTCTAGGCAGTTCTAAATGACCCTAGACAGTTCTAGATGATTCTGAGAGGAGTTTTAAATGATTCTACACATATCTAATTGATTCTGGAGCGTTCTAAATGATTCTAGGAGCCGTTCTAAACAATTTTAGACACTTCCAGTTGTTTCTGAAGCGTTTGAAATGGATTTAGACAGTTCCCAATTGAACAAGATAGTTCTAAATGATTCTAGAGCGTTTTAAATGATTTAGGAGGCATTCTAAACGATTCTAAATTGTTCTGGGACGTTCCAAATGAAGATGGAGCGTTCTAAAACATTCTGAAGCATTATAAATGGTTCTAAATGATTCTAGACAGTTCCAAATGATTATAAACCGTTCGAAATGAATCTGATGCATTCTAAATGATTCTGGAGCGTTCTAAATGATTCTAAACGATTCCAAACGCTTCTAAAGCCTTATAAATGGTTCTAGATAGTTCTAAATGATTCTAGACAGTTCCAAATGAATCTGATGCATTCTAAATGATTCTGGAGCGTTCTAAATGATTCTAAACGATTCCAAACGCTTCTAAAGCATTATAAATGGTTCTAGATAGTTCTAAATGATTCTAGACAGTTCCAAAAGCTTCTAAAGCATTCTAAATGGTTCCCCCCCCCCCCATTCCTCTCCTCGCATATCGAACCGACAACTCTTTACCCCGCCCTCGTAACATAAAAAAAAAAAAATAAAAACATATCGCAATACTCACGTTCCTTCGACGAGTCGTCGTCATAGCCGTCTTCGAACTCGCCGAACCGCCTCCGCCTGCCCCCCAACCCCTTAGGGCAGAAATCGAACCGCCCCTCGGGACTCGACGGGGGCGGGCTGTCGCTCGACGGCGGCGGACTCGAACTCGCGCTCCTCCCCTTCGTCTTCTTCTTCCTCTCCTTATCCCTATCCCTCTCTTTCTCTTTCTCCTTCTCTTTCTCTTTCTCCTTCTCTTTCTCTTTATCTTTCTCTTTCTCTCGTTTGCCGGCCTTCTTCGATTTGACCTTCGACTTCGTCGATTGCGCCGGCGGTTTCTCTTTCGCCGGCGACTTGATTTTCTTCGTTTTTTTGCCACCGCCCGAAGGCTTATTAGAGCTACCAGATTTGTCGTTGGAGGCGGCGATGGCGATTTTCCGAGCCGCCTCCGCCGCGGCGTCGGATCGGTCTCGTTTCCTGAGCTTGTTCGGCCTCGTCGGGGCCGGGCGAACAGCCACGTCGTCTTCGAAGGAATCCTCCGAATCGGATCGGTGCCTTTTCCTGTCCGTTTGCGCGGCCAAAGTGGGTTTGCGACGCGCCTGCGCGGCGTTAGCGGGCTCGTCTTCGGGTTTTTTCGCCCGTTTTTCGTTCGATTTCGAGTGGAATTCGATGGCGATTTCGTCGTCGGACGAGGTGGCTTGATCCAAGTATTTGACGGTGGCCTTTTCGAAGGCGCGCAGGAGATTGTCCACCATTTCGGTGTATTCTGCAACGAAAATGGGGGGGGCGGTGAAATTTGGAGCAAAAATCGAATTTGATTTGGTATTATGAATTAAGGTCGTGTCGATGGAAGGGTTTTAAATAGAAGATTTGATTCGATTAGTAGGCGGCGTGGAACGGATGTGGGTGATTAGTTTTATGGTTCTAAATAGTTCTGGAGCGATTTAGAAGATTCCGAAACGGTTCCGAATGATTCTAGACAGTTCTAAATGATTCGGGAGGGTTCTAATTGTTTTTGGAGCGTTCTAAATGATTCTGGAGCTTCCTAAATGATTGTAGACAATTCTAAGTGAATATGGAGCGTCCAAAATGATTCTGGAGCATTCTTAATGATTTTAGATAGTTTTAAGCCGTTTTTAGAAACATTTTAAAATGTTCTGGATAGTTCTAAATGACTCTGTGATGTTCTTAATGGATTTAGATGGTTCTAAATAGTTCTGGAGCGATTTAAAAGATTCCGAAACGGCTCCGAATGATTCTAGACATTTCAAAAGATTCGGGAGGGTTCTAAATGATTTTGGAGCGTTCTAAATGATGCTGGAACGTTTTAAACGGTTCAAGACAGTTTTAAGTTAATCTGGAGCGTTCTAAACGATTCTGGAGCTTCCTAAATGATTGTAGACAGTTCTAAGTGAATGTGAAGCGTTCAAAATGATTCTGGACAGTTTTAAGTGAATTTGGAACGTTCTAAATGGCTTTTACCTACGTTTACCTAGAAACGTTTTAAAATGTTCTGGATAGTTCTAAATGACTCTGTGATGTTCTTAATGGATTTAGATAGTTCTAAATAGTTCTGGAGCGATTTAAAAGATTCTAAACGCTTCTAAATGATTTTGAGGCGTTCTAAATGATTCTGGAGCGTTCAAAATGATTCTGGATAGTTTTAAGTGAATTTGGAACGTTCCAAATGGCTCTACACATTTATAAAAACGTTTCTGGAGCATTCTTAATGATTCTAGATAGTTTTATGTTAATCCGGAGCGTTCTAAATGGTTATAGACAATTTTAAATGATTCGGGAGCGTTCTGAATGATTCTGGAAAGTTCTAAACAATTCTAAAATGGTTCTTGATTATTCTAAATGGTTCGAAAGCGATTTAAATAGTTCTAGAACATTCTAAATGATTTGGGAGCATTCTGAATGAATCTGGAACGTTCTAAACGATTATAGAATGGTTCTTGACAATTCTAAAAGGTTCGGAAGCGGTCTAAATGGTTCTTCTGGAACATTCTAAATGATTCTGGAGTGTTCTAAACGATTCTGCAACGTTCGAAACGATTCTAAAATGGTTCTCGATTATTCTAAAGGGTTCGGAAGCGGTCTAAATAGTTCTAGAACATTCTAAATGATTTGGAAGCATTCTGAATGATTCTGAAACGTTCTAAACCATTCTAGAATGGTTCTTGATTATTCTAAATGGTTCGGAAGCGGTCTAAATAGTTCTAGAACATTCTAAATGATTTGGGAGCATTCTGAATGAATCTGGAACGTTCTAAACGATTCTAGAATAGTTCTTGACAATTCTAAATGGTTCGAAAGCAATCTAAATATGTAAATATCTAAACATTCCAAATGATTTGGGAGCGTCCTGAATGAATCTGGAACGTTCTAAACGATTCTAGAATGGTTCTTGACAATTCTAAATGGTCCGGAAGCGGTCTAAACAGTTCAAGAACATTCTAAATGATTTGGGAGCGTCCTGAATGATTCTGGAACGTTCCGAATGATTTGGGAAGGGTTCTAAATGATTCTAAATAGTTATAAAATGATTCTGGAGCTTTCTAAATGATTTGGGAGCGTTCTGAATGCTTTTGGAACGTTCTAATCGATTTTAAAATGGTTCTTGACAATTCCAAATGGTTCGAAAGCATTCTAAATAGTTCTAGAACATTCCAAAACGATTTGGGAGCGTCCTGAATGATTCTGGAACGTTCTAAACGATTCTAGAATGGTTCTAAACGCTTCTAGACAGTTTCAAAAACGACAATTATTTACCGTTCTCGGCGCCATTGTACAATTTACAATTGTCCACGATCAGCTGGAAATCCGATCGGAACTTATCGAACGTCTTGTAATAGGCGGCATCCAAACGTTCCTCCATCCTTTGGAGGTCCATGGGTTTCCTGACGATCGAATAGTAATTCGGGGCGTACTCCTCTTCGACGGGATCGGTGAATGGCCAGGCGTCCTCGTGGTTTTTCACCGAATCGAGGATCTTGTGCATGCCGGTGCGAAGGTCCTCGTCGGTCTGTCGGAACCTGCGGTCAGAGAAATCGGTTAAAAGTATTGTTAGAACCAGTTTGGAACTGTCTACAATCATTTTAGAACTCTCTACAACTATTTTAGAACTCTCTACAACCATTTTAGAACTGTCTATAACCTCTATTTAAAACGCTTTAAAATCATTTAGAACTGTCTGAAACCGCTTACAATGGCCAATAATCTGTTTAGAAACTATCTAGAACTATCTACAACCATTTTAGAACTCTCTACAACCATTTTAGAACTCTCTACAACCATTTTAGAACTCTCTACAACTATTTTAGAACTCTACAACCATTTTAGAACTATCTACAACCATTTTAGAACTCTCTACAACTATTTTAGAACTCTCTACAACCATTTTAGAACTATCTACAACCATTTTAGAACTCTCTACAACTATTTTAGAACTCTCTACAATCATTTTAGAACTGTCTATAACCTCTATTTAAAACGCTTTAGAATCATTTAGAACTGTCTAAAACCGCTTACAATGGCCAATAATCTGTTTAGAAACTATCTAGAACTATCTACAACCATTTTAGAACTCTCTACAACCATTTTAGAACTCTCTACAACCATTTTAGAACTCTCTACAACCATTTTAGAACTCTCTACAACTATTTTAGAACTCTCTACAATCATTTTAGAACTCTCTACAACCATTTTAGAATTATCTACAACCATTTTAGAACTCTCTACAACTATTTTAGAACTCTCTACAACCATTTTAGAATTATCTACAACCATTTTAGAACTTTCTACAACCATTTTAGAACTGTCTATAACCATTTTAGAACTCTGTACAACCATTTTAGAACTCTCTACAACCATTTTAGAACTGTCTATAACCTCTATTTAAAACGCTTTAGAATCATTTAGAACTGTCTAAAACCGCTTACAATGGCCAATAATCTGTTTAGAAACTATCTAGAACTATCTACAACCATTTTAGAACTCTCTACAACCATTTTAGAACTCTCTACAACTATTTTAGAACTCTACAACTATTTTAGAACTCTCTACAACTATTTTAGAACTCTCTACAGCTATTTTAGAACTCTACAACTATTTTAGAACTCTCTACAACCATTTTAGAACTCTCTACAACCATTTTAGAACTGTCTATAACCTCTATTTAAAACGCTTTAGAATCATTTAGAACTGTCTGAAACCGCTTACAATGGCCAATAATCTGTTTAGAAACTATCTAGAACCTTATACAATCATTTAAAACTCTCTATAACCTCTATTTGGAACGCTTTAGAATTATTTAGAACTGTTTTAAAGAGAGTTTTAAATGATCGTATAAGGTTCTAGATAGTTTCTAAACAGATTCTAGGCCATTGTAAGCGGTTTTAGACAGTTCTAAATGGTTCAAAAGCGTTCTAAATAGAGGTTATAGAGAGTTTGTAGATAGTTGTAAATGATTCTGGAGCATTCTAAACGGATCTTAACAGTTCTAAATGATTCTAGAGCGTTAGAAATGAATATGGAGCGTTCTTAAATGGTTCTAAACAGTTCTAAATTATTATGGAGCATTCTAAATAGTTCTACACCTTTTCCAGTTGTATTTCAGAAAGCGTCAATTGAATTTAAGAATAGTCACTTATATTTCGGAAAGTATCTGTTGTATTTCAAAATAGTCAATTTGATTTCAGAAATCATCAATTGAATTTCAGAATAGACAATTTGATTTCAGAAATCAACAATTGAATTTCAGAATAGTCAATTTGATTTCCGAAATTATCATTTGTGTTTCGGAAAGTGTCATTCGTATTTCGGAAACCGTCAAAAGGATTTCAGAGTCCCATTTGGAATGCATAAATCATATGACAATTATTATTACAATTATTAAGGAAGAAGAAAAACTCAGTCCTTATATTATTTTTTCGGACTTGAAACAACTTCTCTCCGGAATTGAAATATTTTTTTCTGAAATCGAAATTATTCTTCTTGAACTGATACTTTTATAATTTTCTCTGAAATTGAGATAAAAAAGCTATAGATATTGAAGAATTCCGAAATACAAATGATGATTTCTGAAATGAATTTGACTATTTTGAAATTCAAATTAACGTTTCCGAAATCGAACTGACTATTCTGAAATACAATTGATGATTTCTGAAGTCAAATTTACTATTCTGAAATACAATTTCTTAAATGTACTCTGAATATCGTCTGAATCTACTCGAAACTGCTCCGAATCTACTCCGAATGTACCTACTCTAAATCTGCTTTGAATCTACTCTGTAAATTTACTGCGAATTTTCTCTAAATCTACTCTAATCTACTCTTGAATCTACTCTGAATCTTCTCCTTAATTTACTCCGAATCTACACTGAATCTGCTGAGAATCTACTCTAATCAAGTCTGAATCTGCTCTGAATCTACTCTAATGAACTCTGAATCTGCACTCAATCTACTCTAATGTACACTGAATATGCTCCTGAATGTTCTCTGAATCTAATCTAATCAACTCTGAATCTACACTGAATCTACTCTAATCAACTCTGAATCTACACTGAATCTACTCTAATGTACACTGAATCTACTCTAATGTACACTGAATATGCTCCTAAAGTTCTCTAAATCTACTCTAATCAACTCTGAATCTACACTGAATCTACTCTAATGTACACTGAATATGCTCCTAAATGTTCTCTAAATCTACTCTAATCAACTCTGAATCTACACTGAATCTACTCCGAATCTACACTAAATATGCTCTTGAATCTTCTCTGAACCTACCCTAATCTTCTATATGAATCTACTCGAAACCTACTCGGAATCTACTCTGAATCTCCTCCGAACGTACTCCGAATCTACTATTAACTAATCTACTCCAAATTAACTATACTCTCTCCTCAATCCACTACGAAACGACCCGTTAAACTCTTTGAAAAAGAGACTTGACTTACACTTGCGAAGTTTTCAATTTCTTCTTGTTGTGATTCTTCGGCGGTTCGATGAGAATTTGACCGGTAACGGCCGAAAGGGAATTGTTCGTTTGACGACCGATCGACAAAGGTTTCGACGTCGCCAATTTGTTGCCCGTCGTCGTTTCGCTATCGCTCTGTTGTTGTTGTTCTTGTTGTTGTTGTTGTTGTTGTTGTCGATCGCGTTTTTTGTTGTGCTTCGAGTTCTTCGATGATTTTTCATCTACGAGAAAAAAATTAAATAAATAAGATGCATTAACGTAACGTTTTATTTTATACGGTATACAGGGGTAAGGTTGGAACGTTCCAATTTTTTATCTACGATAAATAAAAAGAAGATAATTTAAAATAATAAAAAAAAACAAATAAAAAGAAAAAATGATGCAAAAAGTTGAGGAGGAATGTGATTCTAGGGCGTTGTGGATGGTTCTAGACGGTTCGAAACTGATTTTGGAGCGTTCTAAATGATTCCAAACAGTTCTAAATGGTTACGGAGTATTCTAAATGGTTGTGAAGCTTTCTAAATGATTCTAGACAATTCTAAATGATTCTGGAACTTTCAAAATGATTTGAGACAATTTTAAATGAATTCTTGAGAATCTGAAATGATCCTAGACAGTTCAGAACGATTTTGGAGCGTTCCTAAATGATTCTAGACAGTTCTCAATGATTCTGGAACTTTTAAAATGATTATAGACAGTTCTAAATGATTCTGGAGCTTTCTAACTAATTCTAGACAGTTCTAAATGATTCTTGAGGATCCTAAATTAATCTAGAGTTTGGAACGATTCTGAAGCGTTCCTAAATGATTTTAGACAGTTCTAAATGATTCTGGAACTTTCAAAATGATTTGAGACAGTTCTAAATGATTCTTGAGAATCCTAAATGATTCTAGACAGTTCAGAACGATTTTGGATCGTTTCTAAATGATTCTAGACAATTCTAAATGAAGTTCTTCGATGATTTTTCATCTACGAGAAAAAAATTAAATAAATAAATAAATAAGATGCATTAACGTAACGTTTTATTTTATACGGTATACAGGGGTAAGGTTGGAACGTTCCAATTTTTTATCTACGATAAATAAAAAGAGGATAATTTAAAATTAAAAAAAAAATGAAAACAATAAATGAGGAAGTTGAGGCGGTGAGTTGGAAAGTGATTCTAGGGCGTTGTGGAGGGTTCTAGACGGTTCAAAACTGATTTTGGAGCGTTCTAAATGGTTGTGAAGCTTTCTAAATGATATTGGAGCTTTCAAAATGATTTGAGACAATTTTAAATGATTCTTGAGGATCCTAAATGATTCTAGACAGTTCAGAACGATTTTGGATCGTTTCTAAATGATTCTTGACAGTTCTCAATGATTCTGGAACTTTTAAAATGATTATAGACAGTTCTTAATCGTTCAGGAACTTTCTAACTAATTCTAGACAGTTCTAAATGATTCTTGAGGATCCTAAATTATTCTAGACAGTTTGGAACGATTTTGAAGCGTTCCTAAATGATTCTAGACAGTTCAAAATGATTATGAAACTTTCAAAATGATTTGAGACGGTTCTAAATGATTCTTGAGGATCCTAAATGATTCTAGACAGTTAAGAACGATTTTGGAGCGTTCCTAAATGATTCTAGACAATTCTAAATGAAGTTCTTCGATGATTTTTCATCTACGAGAAAAAATTCAATAAATAAATAAATAAGATGCATTAACATAACGTTTTATTTTATACGGTATACAGGGGTAAGGTGGAACGTTCCAATTTTTTATCTACGATAAATAAAAAGAGGATAATTTAAAATAATAATAAAAATAAATAAATAAAAACAAAAAATGATGCAAAAAGTTGAGGAGGTGAGTTGGAAAGTGATTCTAGGGCGTTGTGGATGGTTCTAGACGGTTCGAAACTGATTTTGGAGCGTTCTAAATGATTCCAAACAGTTCTAAATAGTTACGGAGTATTCTAAATGGTTGTGAAGCTTTCTAAATGATACTGGAGCTTTCAAAGTGATTTGAGAGAGTTTTAAATGAGTCTTGAGGATCCGAAATGATCCTAGACAGTTCAGGACGATTTTGGATCGTTTCTAAATGATTCTAGACAGTTCTAAATGATTCTGGAACTTTCAAAATGATTATAGACAGTTCAAAATTATTCTAAAAGTTTTGAAATGATTTGAGAAAGTTCTAAATGATTCTTGAGGATGGATGATAAATGATTCTAGACAGTTCTAAATGATTCTGGAACTTTCAAAATGATTTGAGACAGTTCTAAATGATTCTTGAGGATCCTAAATGATTCTAGACAGTTCAGAACGATTTTGGATCGTTTCTAAACGATTCTAGACAGTTCTAAATGATTCTGGAACTTTCAAAATGATTGGAGACAATTTTAAATGAATTCTTGAGAATCTGAAATGATCCTAGACAGTTCAGAACGATTTTGGAGCGTTCCTAAATGATTCTAGACAGTTCTAAATGATTCTGGAACTTTTAAAATGATTATAGACAGTTCTAAATGATTCTGGAACTTTTAAAATGATTATAGACAATTCTAAATGATTCTGGAACTTTCTAACTAATTCTAGACAGTTCTAAATGATTCTTGAGGATCTAAAATTATTCTAGACAGTTCTCAATGATTCTGGAACTTTTAAAATGATTATAGACAGTTCTAAATGATTCTGGAACTTTCAAAATGATTTGAGACAGTTCTAAATGATTCTTGAGGATCCTAAATTATTCTAGACAGTTTGGAACGATTTTGAAGCGTTTCTAAATGATTCTAAACAGTTCTAAATGATTCTGGAACTTTCAAAATGATTTGAGACAATTTTAAATGATTCTTGAGAATCTTAAATAATTCTAAACAGTTCTAACTGACTTTGATTTCTTAATCCACTCTTAATCTCCTCTGAATCTGTTCTTAACCTACTCTGAATCTACTCCAAATCTGCTTTGCATCTAATGTACCCTGAATTTACTCTAAATCTCCTCCGAATGTACTTTGAATGTCCTCTGAATCTAATCTGAATATGCTCTAAATCTACTCTAGACTGTTTTCTTTATCTACTCTTAATTTCCTCTGAATCTGTTCTTAATCTACTCTGAATTAACTCCGAATCTCCTCTAAACGTATTCTGAATGTCCTCTGAATTTAATCAGAATCTGCTCTTAATCTACTCTTAATCTCCTCTGAATCTGTTCTTAATCTACTCTGAATTTACTCTGAATCTCCTCCGAATGAACTCTGAATCTAATCTGAATCTACTCTGAATCCATTCTTTTATTCCACTCTGAATCTACTTTGAATCTATTCTACTCTGAATTTACTCTAATCTACTCTGAATCCATTTTTTTTATTCTACTCTAAATTAACTCCGAATCTCCTCTAAACGTTCTCTGAATGTCCTCTGAATCTAATCTGCTCTAAATCTACTCTAGAATGTTTTCTTAATCTACTCTAATTCTCCTCTGAATCTGTTCATAATCTACTCTGAATTTACTCTGAATCTCCTCCGAATGAAATCTGAATCTAATCTGAATCTACTCTTGATTGTATTCTAAATGATCTGGATCTACTCTGAATCCATTCTTTTATTCCACTCTGAATTTACTAAACTCTCAATCTACAACTATGTCCCGTCATCCTAGCTTATAAATGAATCTGTCAGAAACGGTTCTAAACGAGAACTTTTCACCCCACCCTCGTACGTAATGTAATATAATAATAAAAATAAAATAACAACACGTTCGAATACCTTTAAAGTTTGTCTTCTCTTTAGTTTTGGATTTTTTGCTACGAGTGTTCGACATCTTGTCCGACGATTCGTACTCTACATTCTCATCGTCCTCTCTCGCTTTCTCTTTCAATTTGCTCCGTCTCTCGTACGCCTCCTGTCGTCTCGTTTCCAAATCTCTCCTCTTCGCCTCCTCTTCTTCTTCTTCTTTCTCCCGTTTCGATTTCTCCTCGCCTCCTCCACCGCCGCCTTTCACGTTGTTATCTTTCTTCTCCACCTCCTTCTCATGATCGGCCTCCTATTTGCGGAAAAAACCGGAAATAAAAATGTAAGGTCAATTCTATATGCTACAAGTCGAACGAAGAAAGATTATTCGAATAACGGTGGGTTAGAGTGAGAAAGTTGCACACCCACAATATATCACTCTATCTTTTTCGTTCCTTTATAAGAGAAGAAACCAATGGAAGTTAGTAAGTCTTTGTTGCACTCGTAGACCAATTGAACAAAGAAAGATTATTAAAACTAACTGAGGGTTAGAGTGAGATAGTCGCACAATTACCCCCCCACCTCACAGTATCGCTCTCTTTTTCCTTCCTTTATAAGAGAAGAGACCAATTGAAGTTAGTAAGTTTTTGTTGCACTCGTAGACCAATTGAACAAAGAAAGATTATTAAAACTAACTGAGGGTTAGAGTGAGATAGTCGCACAATTACCCCCACCCCCTCCCCACACGATATCGCGCTATCTTTTTCCTTCCTTCATAAGAGACCAATGGAAGTTAATAAGTCTTTGTTGCACTCGTAAACCAATTCAACAAAAAAAAAGATTAATAAAACTAACAGTGGGTTAGAGTGAGATAGTGAAATGAAGTTAGTAGTAAAATAGGTTGAATAGACACAACCATTTTGACGTATGGTTAACAGTATACGAGGGTAAGGTGAAAAGTTCTCGGTCTGTTAGTGAAAGAGCGCGATTTTCAATTGAAAATTTACATTGTTCTTGTATTCTGGACAGTTCTAAATGGTTCTAGAAAGTTCTAAATGGTTCTGGATCGATCTAAATGGTTCTGAAGTGTTCTAAACGGTTTTAAAGAGTTCTAAATAATTTTGGAACATTCTAAATGGTTTTTGACTGTTCTAAATGGTTTTCGACAGTTTTAAATGATTCTGAAGCGTTCTAAATGACTACGGAGCGTTCTAAATAGTTTTGAAGAATTCTAAATGGTTTTAGAACAGTTCTAAATGATTCAGGAGCGTTCTAAATAGTTTTGAAGCATTCTAAATGGTATTAGAACAGTTTTAAATAGTTCTGAAGCATTCTATATGGTTTTAGAACAGTTCTAAATGATTCAGGAGCGTTCTAAATAATTTTGAAGCATTCTAAATGGCATTAGAACAGTTTTAAATAGTTCTGAAGCATTCTATATGGTTTTAGAACAGTTCTAAATGATTCTGGAGCGTTCTAAATGACTATGGAGCGTTCTAAATGGTTCTGAAGCGTTCTAAACGGTTTTAAACAGTTCTAAATAATTTTGGAACATTCAAAATGGTTTTTGACAGTTCTAAATGAATCCGGGGCGTTCTAAATAGTTCTGAAGCATTTTATATGGTTTTAGAACAGTTCTAAATGACTATGGAGCGTTCTAAATAGTTATGAAGAGTTTTAAACGGTTTTAAACAGTTCTAAATAATTTTGGAACATTCTAAATAGTTTTTGACAGATCTAAATGGTTTTCGACAGTTCTAAATGATTCTGGAGCGTTCTAAATAGTTTTGAAGCATTCTAAATGGTATTAGAACAGTTTTAAATAGTTCTGAAGTATTCTATACGGTTTTAGAAAAGTTCTAAATGATTCTGGAGCGTTCTAAATAGTTATGAAGCGTTCTAAATAGTTCTAAAGCATTCTAAATGGTTTTAGACAGTTGGAAATGATTCTGAAGCATTCTAAGTTGTAGTAGACAATTCTAAATGATTCTGGATCGTTCTAAATAACTTTGTAGTGTTCTAAATGATTCTGAAGCGTTCTAAATAATTCCAAACAGTTGTAAATGTGTCTGAAGGGTTCTAAATAGTAGCAGACAGTTCCAAACGAATCTGAAGAATTCTAAATGCTTCTAAATAGTCCTAAACAGTTTCCCAAAAGGATCCGAAACCGAGAACATTCCACCCTACCCTCGTAGACGCGCGAACCGACACTCCCCCCCCAAGAACCCCCTTTACATAAAACAACCCTTCAAATTCCCCGCCGTACGGTTCGAAAAACAAAAACCCCAAACCGACCAAACAACGAAAAACCCTTACGTTCTTCTTCAACCGCCCCGACGTCCTCCTCGGCAGGTTCTCCAGCAACCGCTTCCTGGCCAGGTTCTCCTTCTCCTTGAACAGACGCGGCAACTCCGGCAGGAAGTTCTCGCTCAGCGTCAGATGCAACCGACGCTCGGCCCCGTCCTCGGACCGCCTCAGCTTCTTGGTGAGCTGCAACCAATCGGCCTCGGTGAAGCAGATCACTTGCCACACGGCCTTCTTCTTGTTGTTCCTCGTCGTGTAGTCCTCCCTGTACAATCTGGTGCCGTAGAAGTACCAATAGGCGGAGTCATTACCGTCGTAACCCAAGGGTTCCACGCGCAGGCTGTCCGCTTCGAGGTTCCTGAGCCGCTCGAGCACGTCTTCGGCGTCGAGGCGAAAGTCGCAGAGGGCGTGCAAGATGTCGACTTTGGTGCGAAGCGGCAACAGCTGGAAGTCGATGTCGGTGTTAAAGGGATTGTAGAGATCGTGTTCCTGGCATTTCTGGCGGAACAAACGTCTCAGGAACATCTGGTAGTTGAACGTGGAGATTTCATTGTCGGGCAGGCAGCCGCTGAGCAATCGTACGATGAGGTCCTGCAGCCAGGAGGATTCTTCCGTGCCGTCGGTGAGCAGGGCTTCTTCTAAATCCTACGGTTGGTATCGGATTAATTGCGGTTAAATTGAAAACGGGTTCGTACTTGTACTCACCTCTATGTCGAAATCTAAGAGATTAAAGGCGGTTCGAAACAACGAACAAAAGTGCGCGATGCTCGGTACCTCCCACCATGATTGAATATCTTAAAAGAAACGTCCGCATATGAGAATCTTACGCGATCGAGATGCTTACAATTCGATTGCAAATCGTATAGTTTATAGAGTATAAACACACCTAGGATGCTAATGAAAGTTGGAAACATAACCTATTTCGTTGATCGATACATACAGAGTCGCTGGATATCGGCGATGGCGTCGACGATTTCATCGAGGTAAATAACTCGCCTGTGGGAATGCGGGGGTTTTTTTTTTGGCGTGGATTGCACTTTGAAATGAACTATTTACATTTATACGCTCTTGCCCAAAATGCCATTTGCAACAAACTTTCGTGACATATTGACGTTGACAGTTGACAGTTCGTTCATCGTCGTAGCGCACGGTCGTATATCATATGAGGTCTGGAAAGTTTACTAATTCGACCAATAGGAGACGATTTTGTAAACGATATATTTTATAAATTCGCTGAAGATGCAGCCATACCTTAAATAAATCTAATAATTGTTTACAGACCTCATTTCTCAATAATTTTACTCGTCACTATCACAAAATGGCTAAGTTTCCAGACCTTAGAAATTTTGACAGTTGGTTCATAATCGTCTACGATCGTACATCAAGGTCTTAAAAGAAAATTTTGTAGTTTCTAAAATGATCGATAGAAGATAATTTTTTTAAGTAAATTTTCTTTAAATTCGACATTTAAGTTACTAGAGATGCAACCATAACTTAAATATATCTAATAATCGTTTTACAGACCTCATTTCTCAATTATTTTACTCGCCATTACCACAAAATACGCCAAGTTTCCAGACCTTAGATGTATACGACCGCGTTATTGACAGATCGAATTATTTTATAATCAAACAAAACAAGTTTTTAATCGTTTATTATTAATAATTAAACTTTCGAATCTATTACTTGGTTCTCTTGAAACAGCAGGAACGCTTCGTTGTTCTTGATAATATTTATAACTTTGGCTGAAAAACAAATCGAGATTATAACGCCATCTATGAGAACTAAGCGAAAACGATACTCGAACAGGACCGTACTAAGTACTTACGTACTTTGTAAAATCGCCAACGAATCGGAATTTCCTCCGTAATCCTCCGGTAACAAATCCTTCGGTATGTGAGCGTGCAGTTGTTCCAAAGTAGAATGTACTATTATCTTTAACGAAATAATTATTGAGTTCCATAAATATACAAGATGAAGTCAAATAAAACTTACAGCTTCGCCGATATATTTCGGCAAAAGCGGCCTGGTGAGTATCAAAATTTTCGAAACTATGTAATTCATGTTGATGAAATGTATGCGAGTTATTCGAATCGGCATGGCCTCCTTAAAATGCGAATGTATATACGAGGGTAAGGCGAAATGTTGTCGGTCTGGCGATGGAAGACCGCCATTTTGGATTGGAAAATTACGTTATTCTTCTTTATTAAGTCGAAATCTTTAGTTCTAGACAGTTCTAAACGATTCAGACCGAGAACTTTTCACTGTACCCTAAAGAAAAACGAGTAAAATCGCCCATAAAATCACCTGTAAATAATCCATAAAGGTTTTGACAGTATCCGTGTCATATTTCATGACGTGCGCAAAACTGGCATTCGTCATATCTGCGACCAATTGCAGTCCATTTACCGGCCCGTTCTGATGCAGGAACATCAGCGTTGTGACGTCGAACAACCTAATGTGGCCTTCTCCTGTGTATTTAGTCACGTCATTGTCCATTAATCTGCCTACTACGATCATATCGCCTGACGGAGTGCACGCCGGCAGGGGCGTCATTACTCTGTAACAAACGTCAAACGTCAAATGTCAAATGTCAAACGTCAAAACGTCAATCGATAAAATCGGCATTTACAAGGGCAAGGTGAAAAGTTCTCGACCTGACAATGATAAAGACCGCGTTTTTCAGTTCAAAAATTACATATTCTTCTTCTTATTGAGTCGAAATGTTTGGTTCGAGACGGTTCTAATCGATTCTGGAGCGTTTTAAATGATTCCGAAGCGTTCAATATGGGCTTAGACGTTTCTAAATGATTCTGGAGCCTTCTAAATAATTATCTGGACGGTTCTAAACTATTCTAGACAGTTATAAATGATTCCAAACAGCTCTAAATGGATCTGGAGCGTTCTAAATGATTTTGGAGCGTTGTTAATGATTATCTGGGCAGTTCTAAATGATTCTAGACAGTTCTAAATGTGTCTGGAGTGTCCTAAATGATTCTGGAGCATTCTAATTGATTCTGTAGAGTTCTAAATTGTTCTAGATTCTAGACAGTTCTAAATAAATCTGGAGCATTCTAAATAATTATGGACACATCTAAATGATTCTGGATTGTCCTAACTGATTCTGGAACATTCTAATTGATTTTGTAGCGTTCTAAATTGTTCTAGACAGTTCCAAATTATCCTGGAGCGTTCTAAATATTTCTGGACAGATCTAAATGATTCTGAAGTGTCTTAAATGATTCTGGAGCAATCTAAATGGTTTGAGACAGTTCTAAATGATTTTGGGGCGTTTTCTAAATGATTGTGTAGCGTTATAAATGGTTGTATACATTTATAAATGATTCTAGAGCGTTCTAAATTGTTATAGACAATTTTAAATGCTTCTGGATCGTTCTAAATTGTTCTAGACTGTTGTAAATGCGTCGAATCTGGACCGTTCTAAATGGTTTCACAGTTCTAAATGATTTTGGAGCGTTTTTTAAAAGAATATGGATCGTTATAAATGGTTTTATACATTTATAAATGATTCTAGAGCGTTCTAAATTGTTCTAGACAATTTTAAATGCTTCTGGAGCGTTTTCTAAATGATTTTAGGTAGTTTTGAATGATTCTGGAGCGTTGTTAATTATTGTAGAGAGTTTTAAAAGCCTCTGGACCGTTCTAAATGGTTTTAGACAGTTCTAAATGATTCTGGAGCGTTATAAATGGTTCTATACATTTATAAATGATTCTGTAGCGTTCTAAATTGTTCTAGATAGTTCCAAATGTCTATACGTAGCTTGACTAAATGGTACTGGATGATTCTATACAACGTTTTAAACAACCATGGATCGTTCTAAAACAGTTCAAAACGATTCTAGGCCGCGAGAACTTTTCACCACACCCTCGTATGTACATGCATTCCGTGGCGTCTTTGAACAGCGGACATTTCAGCGTCCTCGATCCGAACAACTTGGGATTCTTCGATTTGATGGTGAAGTAATGTTCGATGAGAATTTTCGCTTTGTTCACGTCGTAGGAAGCATTATGGAGGAACAGTATCGCTTGTAATTCTGCAAAAAAGGTTGCGCAAAAGAGTGACAATCGAAAAAGAAGAAAAACATGTCTAACACTCGTATCAAATAAAACTAAAGTTTATTATACACCTTGCTTCATTTCCGATTGCAACATGGTCATTTCTATGAGTAGAACAAAGAAAGATTATTAAAATGACAGTTGTCAGAATGAAAAGTTGCAATGATACAAATGTCATTCTTTCATTTTCCTTTGCGATCATAAGTGCGATAGAGACAACTTCCATATTAGACATTTATAAAAGAAAAAGAAAGAGTGACATTTGGGTCATTGAAACTGTTCATTCTGACAACTGTTATTTTATTAATCTTTCTTTGTTCAACTCATAGAAACGACCATATTGCGGTCAGAATTGAAGCAATCTGTATAGTTATTTTTATATTTTACATATTGCTCAATTGTTCATTGCAACATAGGCTGTGGGTGCAACAAAGACAAACTTCAATTAGACACTTAAAAGGAAAAAGAAAGAGTGATATTATGTCATTGCAACTTTTCACTCTGACAACTGTTATTTTATTAATCTTTTATTGTTCAACTCATAGAAACGACCATATTGCTGTCAGAATTGAAGCAATCTGTATAGTTATTTTTATATTATACAGATTGCTCAATTGTTCATTGCAACATAGGCTGTGGGTGCAACAAAGACAAACTTCAATTAGACACTTAAAAGGAAAAAGAAAGAGTGATATTATGTCATTGCAACTTTTCACTCTGACAACTGTTATTTTATTAATCTTTCTTTGTTCAACTCATAGAAACGACCATATTGCGGTGAGAATTGAAGCAATCTGTATAGTTATTTTTATATTATACAGATTGCTCGATTGTTCATTGCAACATAGGCTGTGGGTGCAACAAAGACAAACTTCAATTAGACACTTAAAAGGAAAAAGAAAGAGTGATATTATGTCATTGAAACTTTTCACTCTGACAACTGTTATTTTATTAATCTTTCTTTGTTCAACTCATAGAAACGACCATATTGCAGTCAGAATTGAAGCAATCTGTATAGTTATTTTTATATTATACAGATTGCTCAATTTGTTCATTGCAACATAGGCTGTGGGTGCAACAAAGACAAACTTCAATTAGACACTTAAAAGGAAAAAGAAAGAGTGATATTATGTCATTGCAACTTTTCATTCTGACAACTGTTATTTTATTAATCTTTCTTTGTTCAACTCATAGAAACGACCATATTGCGGTCAGAATTGAAGCAATCTGTATAGTTATTTTTATATTATACAGATTGCTCAATTGTTCATTGCAACATAGGCTGTGGGTGCAACAAAGACAAACTTCAATTAGACACTTAAAAGGAAAAAGAAAAAGTGACATTTGAGTCATTGCAACTTTTCACTCTGACAACTGTTATTTTATTAATCTGTCTTTGTTCCACTCATAGAAATGCCTATGTTGCAATCGTGAATGAAGAACAGTGTATATAGGTAAATAAAAATTATAAAATTAAATAATATTAATTTTAACTGACCGGTTATTTCTGGCAAATCGATACGATCCGAACACCAGTTGATCAAATATTGAACGTCGCTTTTGATTAAATTCTTATCGTTGCGATAGATCTGGACGGTTTCGAGCTCTTTGAAAGGTTTCTCCAACCAAGACATTTGTATGACATTTGCATGAGTAACTAAAATTGTTTTTAATTGTAACTCATATAACGGATTGTTTTGCACTAAAAATTTATACGAATAATAAACGTTAAAAAGCGACGTTATTAACGTCAATATAATAACCAATGGGTTAGTACGATCCTGTCGAAGAAGAGGAGGAAATGTTTAACTGAGCAGGAAAAGGCCGTTACAAGAAA